AAAGAGCCCAGCAAAAGAAGCAGGTCAGGACACGCGACCGTCCACACAGGAAGAGTCAACCACATGTCGTCCTGCTTTCAAGTCCTGATGGCCGCTATGCTCCTCCCTCTTCCCACAGCTCCCTCACTCAGGATGTCAGGGGAGGGAGTTCAGGCCACAGGGCATCATCCCATCTGGCTTGGGCTGTGTCAGAGGTCAGGGAAGAGAGTTTCCTCCCTCCTCTGTTTGAAAAAAAGTGGTGTAGGGCAGATTGTACTGCCTAGCCCAGGAGGCCACGGGGGTACCTCAAGAGCCAGGGGTACAGGACTGTTTACAACCATCCCAGGCTGGGAGGTTCATCTTCATTCCTCACAGATCAAAATAATTTTGGAGGCACTGGTGGGTTTTTACAGGTCTTTAATGCTGAACTAGGGGACAGACCAGTTTTCTATCTCAGTATTCCTCTGGCTGTCTCCTCTCTTTTGTCCTACTCTTGCCTCAGAGTGATGTTACCCTAATCACCCCTCGTCACAGGTGTCTCCATTTACATTTATACATGCCCCATGCTCTCTGGGCCCAGATGCCCATAGCTACATGTGTGCATGTAAGACTGCTGGTGCCGGTTAGATGCTAAAAGCAGGAGGGAGTAAAAAAGTCTGATAACTTCATTTACCCTACAAGGACTTAGCCACACAAGCTGTTCCAACAAACGTCCGTGTGTGCATTGCTTCTCATAGCCCCAAACAAAAAATAACCCCACAGTTTATCAGTAGAAGAATGAATAGTCAGTATATTCATACAACTGAATAACATGGAGCCAAGTAAGATTACCAGACAGCACACATACCAGGCCTTTTGAATAGCATTTACTGGAGGAAACCAGTGACTATAGGAGCAGTAACAGGTTTGGAAGTCCCCTTTGGTCATCCCCCTGGGAGTCAACATGCAGGAATGAGAGAGATCCTGGTCCTTTCGTAAGAATACGACCGTACAGTGTCTCCTCAATAACTCCCTCCCTCTTCTTCCAATGAGAAAGTTTGTTTCTTTACAAAGAAAGAGACCTGAGGGCCTCCCCTGTGGCGCAGCGATTGAACACTGGGCTGCGAAGCTGCCTGCAGCCTCTGTGGCGCCGGTTCGATCCCTGGCTTCTCCCTGGCCTCCCGAGGAGGGTCCCACATGGCGCGCAGACCTCTCCTGCCACCCGCTGCTCCCCTCAGCAGTGTACTTCGGTCCTTCTGCCTGCTCTGCTCCCCGCTCTGGCTCTGGTGAATTCTCTCACCCTCCCATGCTTCTGACTGTACCCAGTGCTTGTATAAATAAATAAATAAATCTTAAAAAAAAAAAAAAAGAGACCTTAAAAACAGAATGACTGACCTGATAAGGGCTGTGATCTAATTGCTCCATGACATAGAACTGTGGCTTCTAGCACTTTCCACCACTTCATGATTCATCAGTTAGCAGTGCACTGACTCTCGCCTAACAAGACCAGGGACAAAAGGTCATGTCTTGATATGACAGATAAGTGGCCTATTCAGCATGCTGGTAGAATTGATTTCTGTAAGCATGTTACTGTAGCTAGTTTCCATGGAGCTCGATGGCCAATTCATTTTCTGGAGGCCAGCGTACAGAGAATCTTAGACAAGTTAATCCTTTTTTTCTCAACCACTGTTGTTCTCTACCTCTGATCTCTACATGGCCTCTATGCTACCTGTCCCACTCCATCAGTTCTGCATATCTATTCAATCTATAGGCATGCCTGGAGAATGTTAATACACTGACTAGAGGCAGAGGAGCTCAACCTTGAGCTGTATTAGAATTACCTGGAGAAATAATCTGAAACTTCCAAATCCAAAGAGGGCCCTGAGAATTTGCATTTCTAAGGAATTCTCAGGTGATGCTAATGTTGCTGGTGTAGACCCACACTTTGAAAATCACTGGAATAGGGAAAGCCGTGAATAGTCTCTTCCCTCAACCAGGGGTTGGGTGAGCTCAGATTCAGACAAGAACAGACATACTAGAGTTCTGACCGGGATACTTAAGATAACCATACAGCCTTCTCACAGAGGCAGAATACTTACACTACCTACCAGTAATCATGATTCATAAAGGGTGGTCGATTAGGGCACAGACAGCCCTTTGTTTGTCAGATTTTGAAGCTGTGTCAATCCAGTCTAGTTAAAACAATAATAAATAAACATAAAACCACCCTGGCTAAGCCACCCAGGGTTATCCTCTGGGTGACTGGAGTAATCCCACTAGCTATTTAGACTAGCACAACTGGAAGATTTCCCATTGTTGTGCTCAGTCCAAATTATCCATCCTCACCAGGAATAAGACTATGAGGTATCTCCTCCTATTCCTTTCTCTTTACTGCCAACTAGAAAGTTTTCTCTTGAACATTTAAACCATGGTGGCTATGGTGAGACCCCCATAAAACATGAAACAGCTGGATGATCACCTCAGGGTTATACTAGGTCATGGTCCTTAGAGGCAAACAGGTGAAAGCCATTGGACTACACGGGAAAATATCCTGGGAGGGACACATTGTCTAGCCATAACTGTGTGTGCATGTGTTTGTGTGTGCATTATGCGGCATTGAGATTAACATCCATAGTTACAGGGTTAACCAAGTTAAAGGCTAATCAAGAACAATAGGATTGGGGCCTCCCTGGTGGCGCAGGGGGTTGAGCACCACATTATGAAGCAACACACAGCTCTGCAGCACAAGTTCGATCCCTGGCCGGGCAGGGAGAAACCCACATGGCGAGGCAGACCTTTCCTGTCTCACCCACTACTCCCCTCAGCAGTGTTTTAATCAGTATGCCTGTTCTGTCCCCTACTCTGTCCCTGGTGAGTCCTCTCACCCCCCACATCTCTGGCCTGCACCCCAACTCTTATATGCATAAATAAATCAATCTTAAAAAAATGGCTTATTTTACAAAAGAGACCCCATAGAGCTCTCTCAGCTATTGCCCTGAGTGAGGACTCAGGGAGAAGTAGCAGACTGCAACCTGGAAAAGGGCTTCACTAGAATCTGTTTGCGCCATGACTTTGAACTTCCCCAGCTCCAAAACTGTAAGAAACGCATTTCTTTTGCAAGTTACCCAGTCTGTGGTATTTTGTTATAGTAGCCCTAACAGAAGAAGGCAGTCCTCCAGTACTCACTGGGGGGGGGGGGGGGGGGGGCTCTGGTGTAGAAGTTTTTTAAGTAGTAATGTAGGTACTGTGGTGAAAGGATTTTTGCTGTAATTAAATTTCTAAATTAGATTTCTGAGGTGATTGTCTAAATGACCCTGACCTAATCAAATGAACAGGCTCATTTGCTGAGTTGATGGATTGCTGGCTGATTGCTGAAGTGGAAATCAGAGATGTTCTCTGACCTGGGAGAATGCAAACATCCATTCTGTGACTTGTCTGTGGGGGGCCATGTGGCAAGAAACTGCAGGCATTCTCTAGAGGGTAACAGTGTCCTCTGCTGACAGCAAGAAAACAAGAACCTCAGTCCTACAACTGCAAGGAAATGAAATCTTTCAACAACCAGTGAGTCGAAAAAGGACTGCAAGCCCTAGATAGGACTTGGACCAAGACCTTGATTTCAGCCTGCTGAGACCCTGAGCAGAAAATAGCCAGGCCATGCCTGGATAGACCCCTGACCTACAGATACTGTGAAATAATTTGCATCTTTTTAAGCCACATTTGTGGTAATAAAATGGCAAGAGAAAACACAGGAAATAGATGTGTTCAGGGGATAAGCAGAATCAAACAGGAACAGTTGTCTGTGGGTAGAGCATTTCCGAGTTCTCTTGCACACTCTGCAGGCAGTAATGGGCATGTAGGTCTGCTATCTTAAACTGCCTGGGCATGTTCCATTATCTGAGAGGGTGTCTAGATATCCCAGCAGTAAACAGTCATTCCTGTAATGCTTAAATTGACCATTGGAACAACCATTGGACAACCAGTGCTTCTGTTGTAACACCCATCTAATGATGGCTCTAAGATTCCAAAGAAACACCTGGAACAATTCCTCAGACCTCATCAGAACCAGTTTACCACTGCAATCTTCGATTGAGGTGGTACAAACTTTGTGCCCTCATTACTCCTGTCTTCAGATGAGCTGGTTTTACCATTATCTAACATTCCTTCTATTTCAAACAAAAGCAACCCAACTGTACCTGTCCTTTAAGTAACTGCAAGGAAGCTCTCCTGTACCTCTGTATTTTTCTCCAAAGCAATATTGGGGGCCACCAACCTTACTATTTTCGACCCTTTGATCTGAAAGCCATAACCACATAGCATTAAAAGAGCCATCAGCCTACTTTATTCCCCCTGGGGTTATAGCATTCACCTGGAGATATGGATGAAAAGTGTGATAGTTAACTTTATATGTCAGCTTGACTAGACCATTGGATGTCTAGATATCTGGCTGACATTTCTGGGTTATGTCTGTACGGGTATTTCCAAAAGACACTGACATTTGGACTGGTAGACTGGGTAAAGCAAATGGCCCTCTCCTACGTGGGTGTGCATCATCTAATTACTTGAGCACCTGAATAGAAAAAGCTGGAAGAAGATCACTCTCTCTGCCTGAGTGTTGAGCTGGGGCATTGAGCCCTACTCTCCTCCTCTCAGAGCTTCTGGTTCTCAGGCCTCAGACTTGGACTGTAATCTATACTATTGGCTCTCTGTCTCTCAGATCTTTGAACTACACCACAGGCTTTCATGCATCTCCAATGAGATCCATGGGACTTCTTAGTCTCCATAACTGCCGAAGCCAGTAGCTTTTAATATGTAATTGTTTTTAGCTCACTCTCTGAATTTATACTTAAAATAAAAGTGAAAAAAAGACAGCACACATTGTAGTATACAGTGGTAAAGGGGAATCTTATCTGCAATTTACTCACAAATGTCTCAGGAAGAAAAAAAATTACACTACATATGTTTTCTTATGTTTTAAATGGCTTCAGAATAATTAGAAAAGGAATGAAAAAATGAAAGGAAGAAAGGCATACTTCAAGTAATACTTTCATCTCCTTTTATTGAAGGAAATAAAACATGAGCTGCAGAGGCTGTGGTACCTCAGAGCATGACAAGGTTGCCAATGACAAGCCACAATGCTGGCCAGGGGTCCTACGATAGTGTGAGGACCAAAACCACAAAGATAGCAGGAGGTAGCAAACATCCCCAACACTCGGTGCAAGCATTTCCATTTGCAGAGCACTTGGCCATGCATGGAGAAACAGGGTTCCCTCACAGCCAGGAGAATATCATCTCAGGTGACCAAATCCACCCACAACTACCGTGTAGTATCAGATTTGGAGGTTCTTTCTTTTGACCCAAAGACTCAAGCCATCAGAATATCTGAGTTGCTCTTTCAGCTTCTTATCCCAGATGGAGAAAGAGGCTAAACTTCTTGAAACAACACAAAGGTATACAGAGCTGGTAGGTGTTAATGCCTACCCTTATTCTAAAAGCAGCTAATTTTTTTTCCTGACTTCTCATACTGCTCTCACCCAGCACGTGCCCTAGGAAACCTCTCAACATTACAAACAAGAAAAGGATGGGGGCAGCAGCCTGGGGGATGTAGGGAATTAAAAGCTGCTAAATAGCCAAGGCCATTTCACAGGAAATAGCGTGGGAACACTATCGGGTCCGGGTCCTCCCAAAGAGCTGCTAGAAGTATATACAAAGAAAAACGTGCTCGCTCTCTCCCATTTCAGGGTCAGCTGTGCCAAAGTAATGGTCCAGGAGATGAGCAATTTCATGTCCCTGGCAGATAAGCAAATCCTATGGTAATTCCTCAAGCAGTTCCAATTTTCAAGTACAATGATATATTTGAGCAATTCAGTCACAAAAAAGCGAGCACTAAAGAAATCTCAACTGTTTACAAACTGACAATATTATAAAGCCATAAATTTATACTGTCAAGAAGTGATTGGCGGAAGGCAAGGAGGTTGCTATGTAGAAATAGGAGTCCAAGGGCTTATTCATATAAATCTTGATCAGAAACCACCTTCATATCCACAAATTGGAGGAAATTCCTTATTTAGAAATGACCATCATCTCATCTAGCATCCCAGTTGCAGTTCCCTTCAATGCTGGACACGCGGTTGTCAGGGTCGAAGTCTTGAGAGCACTGCGCAGGAAATGGGAGGAGCGAGGCAAGGAAGGGAGAGCATCGGGGTTGGCATTTCTGAAGTGAGCATTTCACAGAAGGCTTGGCACAATGAGGCTGGGATGAGTGTGGTTTTAGTGATTGTTCTTAGTTGCCTCCTTTGCTGCAGCAATCAGTGGAGTGAGGCTGGAGAGGGGCTTGGCAATCTTCAGGAACTGATGCTAGAAGGAGAAAAGAACAAGAGGTACATGACCACCACTGTTCCTGAGCGATCATTACAAAATGCTAAGGACACACATATTATCACAAGGAGCTATCTGGAGACCTTCAGATTATCCCCAAATTGAAAGACATCTTTAAAATATAAAGACTATTTTGGAAAACTGTTTGGCAGTGTCTGTCTTCAGCTAAACGTACATCTCTCAAATACCCCAGCAATTCCATTTCTAGGTACTTCTCCAAGAGAAATGAGTTTGTATATCCATCAAAGACACATGCTCGTAGCAGCTTTATTTGTAATTGCCAGTAACTGAAAAGAATCCCCAAACTCAAGAGAATGGAAGGATGAAAAGTGTTAATTCATTTAATACTATACAGAAAATCACACAGCAATAAAAAGGAATTAATAATTGACAGATGACTCTCACAGACATTATGCTGAGTGAAAGAAGTCAGACAGAAGAGAGTTCAGATTACATGATTCATTTTTATATCAGGTTAAGACTAAATTATGATGGTAATCAGAGTAATAATTACCTTTGGGGGACGCTACAGACTGATCATGACCTGATGCATGTTGCATGTTGCAATACCGCATTTCAGGACTTTGTTAGATTCCTATCCAATTTGCTGGATTCTATCCTTGAATCCAGTTAGGACGATTAATCCAGCAATAGCTTGGTCTTTTTCCCAAATCACTTCCATTGGGCTATCCTTGAGCCACACCCTCAACTATTAAAGAAGACCACTCTGGAGAAAACACCATATGAAAATCACATTTATAATCTCAGTAAAACTGCCATGGGAAGCACTTCTTTATGTAACTCACAGCCTTTTCAACTAAAAATAATTTTTTTTTTACATTTAGTAGTAAAAGGCTTTGTGTGTTGAGGGTGTGGATGTTTCTTCCATTTGGTAAGAAATTTTGGAACTTTCATGTTTACTTGTCTGTGCAGGCTACTAGGAAACTGAGAACCAAATTTGGTATTTAAACAAAACTAACTCAAGTGACTAGCATATTTGATTCTTCTGCTTTCTCTACAAGTCCCTTTTAATAATCATTTTGGATATGTATACAAATACACATAGACATATAGACAGATATGCATATCCTTTGTTGGAAGTTGCTTCAGCTTCTTTTTGGACCGAGATAGGATTAAAAAGTGGTACCAAGAACACATTACTCTTACTATGAAAAGAATAAAAGATATTAGCTAAATCACAAAGATATGAATTCCAACATCATCCTACGTATTTGTTCATATATCTATTCTTGAAGGAAAAACAGACGTGAAACTCTCTTGGCTTTAAGATTACAAAAGTCAGGGTTTTAAATATTTACAACATGTAGTAATAGTTTAAAAAGTCAGTGTTCTCAGAGAACATGTTTCCATGACTCCCCTCTAAACTGAAAGAGCAGCATGACCTAACACCCACTGGGAGGTCTCAGTTTCTCTGCATAATGGACAAAATAGACAACCAATAGGTAAGCCTTAAGGCCCTTCCACTTTTGACACTCTTTGAAACAAAAGAACAGTTGCCAAGAGCTTACACATTTTCGAGCCAAATAGATAAACCACAATCCTCACCCATCGCTACCGGCTATGTAATCGCAGGGAAGTTACCAAACACTTGAAACCCCAGTTTCCTCATATGTAAAAGTGGGAATAAAGGAACCTAACAATTCAAAGGGTGGTTATAAAGACTAGATGAAAAAACATATAAAGTGCTGAGGGCCCAAAATATGGTAAAGATTCAATATAATGCACTTATTGTTAGTTTTATTATTTTACCAGGAAGAAAATTCTAGAGGGCACTAATCTTTTTTTTCAAGTTTTATTTATTTATGCATAAAAGAACTGGGGTACAGGCCAGAGGTCTGGGAGGTGAGAGGATCCACCAGAGACAGAGTGGGGGACAAAAACAGGCAGACTGACTGAAATACACTGCTGAGGGGAGCAGAAGCGAGACAGGAGACGTCTGCTGTGCCATGTGGGTCAGCTCCTTGGCCGGCTGCGGAGAGCTTCATAGTGCTGTTAAGCCCTTGTGCCACCAGGGAGGCCCACTAATCTTTCAATAAGTGGAGCTGGTATCTAATTAACAGTATCTTCCCCAATTGCAGACTTAGCATAGTATTTGCACATTTCCTAATGCCTAGGGTTTCTGGAACAAACCTCACATGAAAGGCAAAAAATATTATTCAGTGAAGGTAGATACTTTCAAGCAATTCCATTAAATTTTCTGGAGTCAGGGATTAACCAAACCTTTTATAATGCCAGCTTAATCCTGAAAGCACAGCATAACTATTTCATATGGCTATAAAACTGCCTTTAGTAGACCACATTATTTGTATTTTAACTTTACATTACAGGTATAATTCCTTATTAGTAGTGTCATTTTACTACACTGCCTACTGGTGATTTTATAAGTATCACATCCAATTTTATGACCAGCAGCTTATACTTGGTAGAATCCAGATCTCACATCCAACAGACCAGTGCCTTGTAATTAGTAACTCTGATTATAGAGATGTTAAATATATTCTAGACGGTAATATTTCAAGAAAGGTAAATACTTAAAACAATTCCACTAAATGCAACAAATATTTTCTTAAAACCTAGTCTGACTCTGACTTTGACTAAGTATAAGAGGAGATGAATAAAATAGGTGATTCTATGGTAGGAAAGACAAGAGTTGTTAACAACTAATATTAATGCAGGGCAGTGTGGTCTCTCAGGCCCTGGTCTCTCAGTTGCTCTGGGTCTCTAACACAGAGGCCCCTCCACATCTGGGGAATTCACAGACTGAAAATACATACAACAGAGTATATAGTTAGGCCAACAGTGGTTGAGGTTATGTCTATACTGAACATGTTCAGACTTTATTTCCTTGTCACTGTTTCCTAAACAACAGTATAACAACTATTTATGTAACATTAATACTGTATTAGGTATTATAAGTAATCTGTAGAGAACTTAAAGCATAAGAGAGTGTATGTGTAGGTTGCATGCAGATACTACATGCAAATAATCATTTTATATAAGAAACTCTGGGGTTAAAAAAAGAAACTTGGGGTGTCCTAGAACCACTCCAATCCTCTGCAGATACCAAAGGACAATCATACAAAAGTAAATGACTGTGAATGCCTACAGATACTGTCATAAAGTTATATGTGATACTTTTTATTAAATTACCAGTAGGTGCAATAGTAAAATGACACTAGTCCTAAGAAATTATAATTATACCTGCAACATAAATGTTAAACACAAATAATATAGCCTGTTAAAGGCAGTTTTTTCAGCCATGTGAAGTAATTATGCTATAATTTCAGGATTAAACAGGGACAATAAAAGGATTAGTTAACCCCTGATTCCACATTGTCCCACAACCTAGCAGAATCTCATTCCAGACGACAGCATATCATTGCCAGCATATGATTGGGTTCCCAGTGAAAAAACCAGGAAGACTTGAAAAAATACACTCACCAACTAGCCTCTTTAACTATGTCCTCTTATATCCTTTCCTGAAAATGTTATCTTTTGAGTTTAGCCCAGTAAAATATAACTTTATGTGAGATATGCATGTCAGAGAGTTCTTTCTCACCAAGACTCAAACTTTACCAAACAGAACAGCAGAAGTGCTAAAGAAAAAGGTAGGTAAAGTTCGTAGGAGCTCAGAAAGTGTGTGTGTGTGTGTGTGTGTGTGTGTATATATATATATATATATATATTTTTTTTTTTTTTTTTTTTTTGTGGGACCCTCGTAGGCAGCCGGGGAACGAACCGGCGCTGCAGAGGCTGCGGGCAGCCTCACAGCCCAGCACTCAACCACTGCGCCACCAGGGGACGCCCAAGAAAGTATATTTTTAAGTTGAGCCTAGGGGAATATATAGAGGCAGAGCCTAAGAGAACGATCTGAGCAAAGGAGCAAGGATGAAGAAGGCTAGGGAACTAGGAATATAGGCTGAGTGTGGGAAGTTGTAGGAGAGAAGCCTGGATCTAGAATAAGCAGTCCTCACAGACACACATGGAGCAAGAAAGACTTGGTTTAGTGATTCCTTGAATTAGGAGCTTCCCCAAAGAGAGACAGTTACCTGCAGCAGCTCTTTAGCGGAACCTCTCCTCTCTACATCCATCTCAAGACAGCGGTTCAGAAAGTCCCGGAAGATAGCTGATAGTTTCTCTGGATTCTGAAGCTCTGGGGTCCCATTTGTGGCAATGAGGTACAGGGCCTGGCAATACAAATGGAGAATCACCTTGGACTCCAACTGGCATTTTCTCTTGGTTCCCAGACACATCCTGAGTATTACAGATCTAAGAATTTCTTATTACTGATTACATTATCTAAGGGGTTTATTATTCATTTAGTCTGATGCATTAAACATCTGCCCATTTGCTGAAGAACATTATTTCTGATACCTTCACTTCAGTCACTCAAGAATTCTAGTAGGAGGGGAATATAAGAAGGAAGTGTTCTGTAAAGCAGTAACCTGTTTCACTGTTGCCTTTCTGTTCCCCTAACATGAAGTATCTTCTCAGAAAGGTAAAGAAAAATATAGTAACATGACATCCTTAAAAGCACAGAGCACTGTAATTCAAAGTACTTACAGAAACATGATCTCATTTAATGACCAGTAGTATAACCCTGGGTAATAAGGAGGGAAAGAATTACTACCCTTATTTCACAAAGTCCAAAAACAAAGATATACCTGGGATCACACTTCTCATATAAACTCATGTGCTCTGACTTTAGTTCCAATCTTATTTCCATCAGACTCTACTGATCAGCATTTTCAAGGACATTGTAAGACTGGGGAAAGCTGAGTTATATGCAGATTTGGAAGGCAAAGTTGGGATCAAGGGGCAGGAACTACAGTTTGGTACGCTGAAGCACTTTCTAATAATCAGAGCTATCTAAGAGGTATGCAGTTATGATTAGATGACTGCCTTTAAGCAACAACACAAAGGGAATTCCTGCAATGGACAAGAGATTAGAATGCGAAAATAAAGGCAATCAAAATAATTCATATTTATCCAAAACCAAAATTATAAACCCGTTGTATCTATATTTATATGCTCTCCTTTCCTTTGCCCATTACAATGGATAAACTGTCCATATGCTGATTGAATGATCTTATTTCAGTATTTGATCCACCCCTCTCATCTACTTAAGAACATCACTTCTACTTTTGTCACTCCCTTGTACATGCTTATATCCCTTTTCTCCACTGGCTCATTCCCATTAGCACACTTGACTCCAAGATATTTTTCTGTTCCCTTAACAATAGCAAAACTCCTTAAGAAAGCAACAACAAAAAAACCATTCTGCGTACATGCCATCTTAACAACTTCTACTCTGGTAGATTTATTCTAATTAGGCTTCATTCTTATCACTCTACTGATATTGATTGTCAAGGTCACAATAACCTCCACACTGGTCTTATTTTACACATCTAGCAGTCACATTTGACACAGTGATCATTCTCCTTGAATACTCTGTTCTCTTGGCCTCTAGAACATAATTCTCTAGTTCTCTCCTACCTGGAAAACCATTCCTTGATCTCATTTGCTACTATCTACAGAGCAGCAGAGATCAGTATCCCAACCTCATTCCCTAGGATAGTAATCGCATCTATCACCCAGTTCTATAAACCAACTACATAGTACCTACTAAAAAATTTTATAGAATCCTGACCTCTCAGCCTTGAACTCTGGACTCACGTCCAACTCTACTTAATATTTCCTCTTGGATGTCTAAGAAACATTGAAAATTAACACAATCAAACCCAACTCTTTATTATCCCATTTCAGTAAATGGCAACTGAATTTTTTCAGAAAGTATGGCCCTAACTCTCAAAGTCCTTGTTGATTCCGCTTTCTCTGATAGCCAATCACTTTGTCCACTGTATGTTCAGAATATTTTATGAGTGCAACCACTTTCAACTTCTATTCTTACCATTATAGTTCAAGTCACCACAGTTATCTGAATGATTACAAGAATATCTCAGTCTATTTTCCATAAAATCTGCCAAAATTATTCACCAAAAACATAAATCTGACCATAGTACTCTACAGTTCAAACTCTTCCAATAACTTCCAATCTCCTGCAGAATAAAAGGAAAATTCCTACAATGGCTATAGGGTCTTACCTGATCTAGCTCCCTGCTACTTCCTTGACCCTGTTTATCTTTCTTCACTCAGGCACTCACTTTAGGGACAACTAATTTCCTTGATTTTCCCCAGGGTACAGTAAGTGTGACCTCAAGTCTTTTGTCTACTTGATATCTGGAAAACTCTTGTATCAGATTAATCTCATGGCTTACTCCTTCACTGCCTTTTATTTCTGCTCAAGTAACATACGTTATATCCTAAATAAAAAAGCACACGTCTCTGCTTCTCCACTATTCTCTTAACCCCCTTACTCTGCTCTTCTTCATAGCACTTACCACCTGTTACTATATACTAATTTGCTATCATTAAGACAGTTTTTTGCACCTAAGAACTCAATCATTCAATAAATGAATAAATGACTTATAATATTTCTTTTCTTGAACATTCACACTTTAAACTCAACAATACTCAGTTTCATCAAGAAAGATCCAGTTTGTGGTCCAACCACTATGGAGAGCTGTGTGGAGATTTCTGGACCTACTAAACATAGAGCTTCCATATGATCCAGCAATTCCACTCCTAGGTATTTACCCAAAGGACACAGAAACATCAATTCCAAAGAACACCTGCACCCCTATGTTTATAGCAGCACTATTTACAATAGCTGAGCTTTGTAAACAACCCAAATGCCCAAAAATAGATGACTGGATCAAGAAGATGTGGTACATATACACCATGGAATATTACTCAGCATTCAAAAAAGATAAACACATGCAATTTGCAGCAACATGGATGGCGCTGAAAGGGATCATGCTCAGCAAAATAAGCCAAAAAGAAAAAGAAAAATACCGGATGGTCTCACTCATAGCAGGAATCTAGAAAACTTAAATAAGGGACCAGGAAAATGAATAACTATAAGAAAGTGAAAATCAAAATCAACAAAAAACTATGAACCAGAGACACACTTTTGGGGGGTGGGGGGCGGGAGGGGAGGGATTTGGGTCAGAATGGGGGGGTTGCAATTGTATGGGGAATATAAAAATAAAATTTATTATTTAAAAAAAAAAAAAAAGAAAGATCCAGTTTGAAATCCATAAAGAAGAGCCTAATTCCCAATTCCTTTGACTGAAGAACAGCCCAAACATCTTAAAGTGAGGCTAATCACACTCACTCTCAGAGGGTTTTCATTGAGGTATGGGGGCTCCCCTTCAATCATCTCAATGGCCATGATGCCCAGGGACCAAATGTCAACCTTGGGTCCATAGGCCTTCCGAGTTACAACCTCTGGCGCCATCCAGTATGGGGTTCCCACCATGGTGCTCCGTTTGCTCTGCTCTGGGGTGATCTGGGCACAGAATCCGAAATCAGCTAGAAAAGTAAAAGAGGAAAGGATTTATAATTAGTATACTCCATTCATAGGTATTCTACCTGTAAGGGTCAATCTCTGCCTGACTCTACCCCATGCAGTTCCTTGTCTCTCTAAAACTGCAGTCACACATATCCCACAACTGGAATCCAGCTCCTAGCCTGCTCAATCTTAAAGAGAAGTAGAAAGTACTTCTTTGGTCTCCCACCTCTCTTCAAACCTGAAGGAGTAGTACTGAAGTCCACGTTGCCGTCTTTGGCCTTGATTAAGTGCTCCAATTCTTTTTCCTTCTTGAAAACCATTCTCATACTTTGGAATCTGGTAGCTAGGTCTTTGCTTTATTTCCCTGGCATGAGTTCCAGAATTAAACCCTAAATATCCACAACTAGGCATGGCCCTACTTTTACTAGTTCCTCACCCTGTACCCTAACTAGGATAGAGCCTACTAACAGTCTTCCCATTAAGTAACATCCACCTGTGACACAGCCTGTTTGGACTTCTGAACACAATGTTCTGCCTACAGTTCATTCACATTATGCTGCAATTATGAGGTATTTGATAGGAGCCACTATGTCTTCTTACTCATTTTTATATTCCCAGAGGGTCTGGCATACAACAGCCATTGAATAATATTTGTAGGATGAATAAATAAAAGAAATTACATTACACTTTTTTTCTAATTATCTATTTTATGTCTCCCATACTTGACTGAGAACTACTTGAAGACAGGCTAAAGTATACTGATACTTATCAGAGGACCTAGCACACAGTGGGCATTAAGTAGGCTTTTTGGCTGAATGTTTAAACAAATGAGGGGGGGAAAAGACACCCTATGAAGTGCTGAGTATTATAGAGAGCCCACATATCCCACAAGACAAATAAAGAAACTTTGGGGAGTTTTATAGCGACTATTGTATGATTACTATCCCAAAGGAGACAAGGTCTCACAGGAAAGAAAAGTATTATCATTCCTACTCACTGAGCTTGACAGAGCCATCCATTCCCAAGAGGATGTTGTCACTCTTGATATCTCTGTGAATGACCTGGTTTGAATGTAGAAACTCCAGAGCCTGCAGGCACTATTGAAGTGATGTGTGCAGAGGGAGAAAAAGAAGGACAAATAATATGAAGACATAGCGAAAAATAAATGAATCCAACCCTCCTCATGCAGCGATAAAGAAAATGAGTCCCCAGTGAGTAAAAGGACTTGCTCTACATCAGTGGCAGAGGTCAGTTTAGAAGCTAGTCCTATTTCATGGCTAAGCATACTTTTAACACTCCATGGTGCTTTACATATTTCTTATAATATACCTAATAATAGTTTTTTTGAAGTATAGAAACTCTTCCAATGTACTTTGGAGTTTTTAATAGAACACTAGATTCTTGCCAAAGAAACTGAGATCTCCCAAAAAACAACTGAAGAAGAAAGGGAAGGATTTTGTAATAATAAAACTGGAGGAAAGTAACAAGTAAGAGTCATAGTTGGGAAACCAGACATATGAAAATCATATTAGAAGCAATGGAGTTAAGAAGATTATCTTATTTAGATGAGAAGTTAATGTTTAACATATGTTAATATTTTAGGTATTTGAATTTTATATACCTATGAACATCTGTAGTCAGATTTCCAGTAGGGAACTGAATATGAGTAATAAGTTCTCTACAGAGGTCTGGGCTTGAGATAAATATTTGTAAATTATTTGTGAAAAGTTAATTTTTTAAAAAGTTATAGGAATACTTGAAATTAGCAAGGTTATAGAAGGTAAGAGCTTAAAAAAAAAAAAAAAAGAACCTTGGACGATACCTGCTTAGCAGACAGAATGAGTAACAGGCTAAATGGGACAATTAAAATTCTTCTAACACCACCTGACTGCCAATATCATTCTAAACAAATCCCTTAACTCTCTCTAGGCTACTAGGCTACTATCGTTCTACCTGTAAAATGTAGAGATCAGAAAAGATCTCAGGTTTGGAAGCTTTAGAGGCTTCTACCAATTGAAAAATACTAAAGATGCAAATTATTTGGAAAATCCAATTTAAATGTTTTCAAATATTTCACTTTCTAAGAACAGATAATTGCTAAATTAAGAACAAACCGAAATCCAGAATACTTTTCCCTGAAAAAGTAAAAGCTTCTTCCCTAGGAGGCTGCAGATCCTGTCCTCAATATCTAAAATTATGATTAAAAAAAATTATTTGAAGAAATTAGAACCCTCAGACACAGCTGGCAGGAATATAAAATGGCATAGACACTTTGGAAAATAGTTTGGCCATTCATCAAAATATTAGGCATGGAGTTGCTATATGACCAGAAATTTCACTGCTAGGCATATACACCCAAGAGAAAAAAAAAACATATGTCCAATCAAAGACTTGTACATGAATGTTCATAGCATTATTGTAACAGTGAAAAAACAGAAATGTCCCAGTATTCATCAATTGATGAACAGCTTGATAAAATGGAATCTTATTTGCCAATAAAATGAATAAACTGCAATGTATAGATTAACACAAATGAACCTTCAAAGCATTATGTGAAAGAAGTCAGTCACAAACCAGCATATGTTATATGTGTTTTATATGAAACGTCTGAACAGGCAAATCTATCGAGACAGAAAATAAATTAGTCATTAAATGGAACTGAGAAACCAGGTGACTAGAGCGTGGAGCTTCTTTTAGGATGATGAAAATGTTCTAAAATTGATTATGGTGATTATTGTTGTACAACTCAATATATATTAGGAATCATTAAATTATATATTTTAATGAGTGAGTCATATGCTGGTATTATATCTCAACAAAGCAATTTTTTAAAAGGGGGTGATCTCTCCTAGAATTTAAGGATAATAGTAGTGCCACCTATTTATGTAATATTTAATTTTTCCCCCAAGAGTTTTGGTCTATATGCTACCGTTAAGGTACAAAAAGTATGAAAGTTGCAATTTCCATTTTAAAGACAAATAATTTGAGGTATACTGACTTTCCTAAACACACATGCATCTATTCTTCAGCCACTCTAAGTCAGCTCCTGGGCTGAGTGAAAAAAAATCTTAGCTATTACGTTTGTGCCAACTGAAAGGGTCTCAGTGCATAAATAGACATACAGTGTATCTGTGGTAAAACTAAAATTTCATGGGGGAAATGTGATTAGGGAAAAAAAATTCTGAAAAGTCTCCTCAGCAGGGAAGGTAATCATAAAAAAAAAAAAAAAAACTAAGAAACACTGCATCAATGGTACAGCAAAGAACAGAAGCCAGATCTAAGAATCTGAAGCCTACGTTAATTCCATTAACCTACATGTATATATTCTAGATCCCAAGATTTTTAATGCAAATGTAAACATATTTTCTAGGACAATATTGATTTCAAATGATTTTATTTCTCCTCATACTGATTAAATATATAACTAAAGAAGTTCACCTGTATGCCTCCAGTTCTTGCTTCATCAAACCCCAATCATACTGTCAGACTCATCTCCATAAAACCTTGAAACTAATAACCTAATCACCCAGTCTTCCATTCAGTCCCTAATTTTCAAACTTAACTATTATTGGGCTGTTGGAAAGTTCCAGTTTCTTTACTGTGCTTTGTTTTTTTCATAGCTCATGAAGAAAGCAGGGAAGCAGAATAAACATGATGAACATTTATTTCCATGTAAGAGGGATAAAAGAAAATATTGCAAAGTGCTTACAGCAGTTACAGCAAATTATTAGTGACTATATTGTCTGTGTGTGTGTGTGTGTGTGTGTGTGTGTGTGTGTGTGTGTGTAGGCACTTTTTAAGATTTCTACAATGGGTATAAAATTTTATAATCAGATAATAGTTATCTTTTAAAAAGTCATGGTGATAAGATTTCAAAGTTTCAAATGATGGGAGAATTAGACTAATTCCTCAGACTAATTCCATCAGGTAGAATCTCAGAGATGTGGATATGGAAGGATTTTTGCTCTAGGATTCCTCATGGCCTTACCTCACGGCATACAGCTGCAATCTGGCCTTCATCCATGCAGGTTTCTGTCACCACATCTGTCAAAGAGCCTCCAGCCAAGTATTCCATGACAACCCACAGTTCATCCCCCACCAGGTAACTGCGGGAGTACAGATAAAAGGTGAGAAGGAACAGTTCATTGAGACATAGCACTGGGTTTCAAAGGCTAAGCACATATACAAAGTGAACCTGCATTTCTATTAGCCCTAGGAGAGCCTAGGGTTCTTTTTTCTGGGAAAAAGCAGAAACTTGGGGACACAGTCACTAACTTGATCTCTCTCGCTCTTTTTTATTAATTTAACATCTCTTAAGGATTTACCTGGAGCAAACAAGACAGATTATTATATGAAGTCTTAAAGGGAAGAACTAAGATCACTGGGTTGAAGATAAAATTATATTTCATTATAACACAAAGGAATGCTCCCTAAAATTAGGCATGATTCCCATACCTTCAGAAATATCAAAGCAAAGAGGACCCAAGCATTTTATAAACATGGAATTTGGAGTCCATGTTACCAATATTAGGAAAAGTCACTAAACTTCCTTGAGAATTCTAATAGGTCTGAGACCCATGAGACCAAGAACTGGCTCATTTTTACTTTGAATCGAGGTAATAAAGGTTTACATTAATGTCAGTATTTTGGAAGTACAAGCCCCCCCACCTCAGGTATTGCCACTGTAAGGTACACACTACCAAATGGGCCGCAGTCCACCATCAGAGTCCACGGAGCCCCCTCCCCTTTCAGTTCCATAGTCAGCTTTCAAGGGTTAGTTTTTTAAGTTTGTAATTATCTGACCCTTAGTTTGGTTTCTCTCTATTCCACATGTGACACCATCCAGTATCTATCTTTCCCCTGACTAATTTCACTTAGTCATCAAAAAAGATATATTCATGCCATTTGTGGCAACATGGATGAAGCTGAAGGGATAATGCTAAATAAAATAAGTGTTGAGTCTTGTTCAAGATCCTATGCCAGAATCCAGTACAGTAGATGCCAATATTTACTGAATAAATGAAGAAGTAAAATAAAAGGTAACCATAAATATTACATAATGGTTATAAAGGCCACTTAAAAGCTGTAAAATGTTATACACAGTCTTTACACTAACAATGATCTCCATCTTGAGTGTCTGATTCTAGGAATGGAGTTAATTCAGCAAGGCTACAGTGAGTCTCTTCTGGTAAGCCAAGGGCTGCCATTTAACGTATCCCTGGGGAGACTATGGGCTGACATGAGTTAAAACTGATAGTTTCACTCAGGGTTTGAGTCATTCTGCCCCGTTAGGTGATAAATAAAAAGGTCTCTTAAAATGTCTAGTCCACTTTTTCACCTATAGAATAATCAAATAAAAACAAGGACAGCTCAGAAACCTAACAACGCTTCAGCTAGCTTCAGACAAAGAAGTTAGCTGGAAATGGTTTAAGCTGTGTGGTTTGTCAGCTTACCTTCATCCTGATATTGTTACTACTGCAGGAGAGATGGGGAAACTTTGAGGGGGGAAAAAGTGGTACCAAGCAAAAGGTAAGATTTGAATCCTATGCTTTTGACTACTAATGTAGTGCTCTTCCATGAGACTCTGAAGTCTAAATAATTAAAAGTCTTGTAATTTTTTTAATGTCCACAAAGAATAAATATGACAGAATAAGTCTTTCTTTAACAGTCCTTTCCAGTGAGAAGACTATGGGGGACTTGGACAGGGACAGATCAGGATTGGGCAAAAAACCTTTTACTGGCATGAGTCTATTTCTGCCCTGATAATTCACATTTATGGCATCTTTCAAGCACATTGAGAGGACATCTGTCAACTTGGATAAATTGTGGAAAGAAATAGGAAGATCTAAGAGGCCATCTCCGGACACAGGCAAATCAGAGTCCTCCTACTAGGACCGGTTACTGTCAAAGCTAAAACAATGCAAGAGCAGATTCAGGTTCTCTCAGAAACAAGTTGTGGCTACATACTGTGCCAAGGTATCTTCAAAAATCACATCTCAAGGTAAAGTATCAAAGCATCACATAGAGAAGAACACATTTTTAATTGAGTTAAAATTAGGAAAATGGAGTTTTCCTCTGGGACAACTCACAAAAACCACAGACTATAATATCTTTACTGAATGTTCAGGTGAGGGTCACCCCCTTGTGTGCTTCCACAGGGGAGCCCAGATATTTTTTTTCTACAACTATACCAGAAACTATTTAAATGTGGGGACTGAGCCTTATTTACTTCTGATTCCACAGTATAATAAGCCTCTGGGAACATTAGCAAAGGCATGATAATAAATAAGCCTATAAATCTTCTAATTACATTTCAGAACACAATTTCCTTCCCCAACATGGCCGTGCACTTTACTGTCTACCTGCCTCCTGTGATGGAGAAGTCCATCACTTTCTTATAGGACAGCTTTCCTTTTTCCAAGTACTGAACCAAAATTTGATACCCTTATAGTTTTCAATAGTTTTTCTAAGCTATATTCTTGGTATAGTAAGTTCCTAACTATATGGGAAGGTGAATAATAATTTTTAGAGAAATCTTCAAAGTCAAACAGGGCCCGTATCATGGATACAAACATCCCCGATAGAAGATGGCTCATTCTATACAGTTATTTACCATAGGCAGGGAAAGTAAAAGTCCAACTCCCATCCTCTTTGAGGAAATTAAAGCTTCAGATGCAGGAAAAGAAATATGGCAGATATTAAATGTGGCTGGCAATGCAGTGCAAATAGTACAAGAATTAGATCTAAGATTTACATTATTACCTTTACCTGTGATGTCTCTGAAACCTGAGCAAGGAGCTTACTTTATTTTTTCTCAGATTATGGAAGAAAAGAACATGATAAGGTAGAAGGGAAATGAATACTGGTGCTGAAACTATTCAAATCCAAAATCCTGGTTTGCTACTTACTGGCTTACTGGTATTTGGACAAGTTATTAACTTCTATGAACCTCAGTTTCCTCATCTGTAAAATATAAATAATAAACCCTACCTCACAATGAGTTACTATTCATGAAAAGAGCACCTTTACTTTACTACAAAGTAAAGCACAGCACAAATGTCAGCTACGATCACTATCATTATGTTGAAGAACAAAATTCAGATGGACTGGTATGATAGTTATCAAAATTGGATAATCAAAATGGAAGAAAACTAAAAAGTTCTACAGTTTGAGAAGTTCATGTATGTATTAAAAAAAGCATCAGTGACTTTAATTGACCAAAACTTACTAGAAATTAACAATGAAACAGATCTCATAAAAAACAAAAGTATGAATGAAATCATTAGGTTGTGTTGATGTTAGACCAAGGGAATTCCACTCTCTCGCCATACTCATCAATTTTCAAGTGACTACTGAGTATCACATTTTAAGGAAATATAGACAAACTGAAGCTATTCAAGAGGGTGAGCAGCATAAGGAAATATTTAGGATACAGAATTTAAAGACCCACATGTTTAATTCAGATAGATGAGTTATTCTGAGGCCAAATAGCACTAGGAACATTGTTAGAAGCTACAGTGTGGTAGGCTTCATCCTAACCCAAAAAGAGTATGCAACTATCTGCGGGCAGGGTTGGAGGCAGAGAGCAAAGTATCACAGAAGATTCTTAAGTGGAGGCAGTTCTATGTGCTGGTGTTCTTTTCCTCAAGCTATTCCACCATCCATCCGTACCCAAAGGCCCAATCTCTTTGACAGGACCTATAACTCCATACCTGTCCAAATAGTTCACAATATTTGGGTTCTTGTTTTCCCTCATGACCAGGATCTCATTAATAATCAGTTCTTTCTTCGGCTGCTGCTGAAGGTTCATCTGCTTAATAGCCACCTGAAATCAGAGAACATTCAATGTATAAACAGAGTTACTCAGCATTCACTGAATACTTTCTAAAGGCCAGACCTTAAGCACTACGACATCAGAGATGAGTAAGATACAGTCTTAGTCCTTGAGGAATTCAGAGTATTAGTACAAAACAAAGGTTCTTAATATGAAGTCCTAGGACAGCAGCATTGACTACATGCAGAAACTTGCTGGAAATGGAAAACCCACTGAACCAGAAAAACTCTAATGTCTGTTTTCAGAGCTGACAGTAATTGTCTGATATATTTGTTGCACCTTCATTTGGGGAGTATATGTTGATCAGTGTTATATCTTCCTGATGCATTGCCCCTTTAATCATAATGCGGTGACCTTCTATGGCTCAAAGGATAGGTTTATTAGGAAAAGGAGAGAGAAAAAGAGAGGTGCCAGCATAGTGAGGTGGGGGCGGGGGGAGGGAAGGAGAGCTGCAAAAAGAATCCCCTTTAAGAACTACTAACAAGGCTGAATGCCCTTTTCGTAGCAGGGTAATCCCCAGGGGAAAAGGAGGTTACAGATTCCCTGCCCCACACTAAGGAAGGGCAGAGCTGGGCAGGGAGGTGAAGCTAGAGAAGAGAGGAGAGAAGAAAGGAAGGTGATCAAGAAGACCTGAAGGAGGCACATGGATTGGAGAGGCACTGGAAAGAACCTGCACTTGCTTCTCAGCCTTGGACCTGTACCAGGGGCTTCGGGGGACATGGAAGGAGAAAGAAACAGAAGAAACAGGAGGAGGAAGAAAGAAACAGAGACATGGGTGGGAGACCCATGGGGTGGCTGACAATGGCAGCCTTTATTTTGACTTGGGTTTTGATTTTGCTCTTTTTCTTCCAGACCTGCCTGGCCCCTTCTGCCCCTTTCCATGGGTGCCCACCAGAAGGTGCCTTAGACTTGTGGCAAGCTTTTGGGTCTCAGCGATCCCACTTTGGTCCAACCCTGTTTGGCTGGGTACCTAAGCAGAGGATGAGCAATTTTGGGTGCTTGATTTGGAAACTATATTCTTCCTCTTCTCTTCTCTTTATTGCACACTAATTGTATTAAGGTTCTTTTCTATTAAAGGTCTTACGCACTAGAGTATGTTTTATCTTGATGTGGAAGATGGCCAAAACTATTTAGAGCAGGCAGGTTTGGGGGTCCCAAGGTGGCCCTCCTTCTGCCCCATAACACTGTCTAATCGGATTGACTGACTTACCTCAGCAAACAGCATTACTATAATGGAAACAGAAGTGGTTTTGAACTGTGATGACTAAAGTTTTGGGCTTGTGTCTGTCACTTAATGACCATGACTAATTACAAGCTCTCTGAACCTCAGTCTCTTCATCAATATGTTAAGGATAATATTCCCAAGTCTAATCCCTCCCACCACAGGACTGTTTTGAGAATTAATAGTGTTACTTATATACAAGTAAATGAAGATGTTACTCATATATAAGTAGGAGATTTAAATAATAAAAGGAATACAACACTGAAAATGTTAATTAGAGTAGTAACTGCATTTGATGAGTATCTGGTACAGAACAGTAAGAATAACAGCAACAACCAGCTACCCTACCAACACTACTGTTTATTTAATGCCTACTGTGTGCCAGGCTCCATATCAGGTGCTGTATTTACATTATCTCAGTAAAACCTAATGACAATCCTGCCAAATAAATATCATTACCGGCATTTTTAGGTAAGGAAATTAAGGTTAACACTCACAAGAAAAATGCCCAAGGTCACAATCAATGCCCACATGTCCATATAACTCTGAATGAGGCTTCCTCAATCTGTTCCTATTACACACATTCCCTTAAGAATAAGCTTGAAAAATAATTGTTGGATCTATAAATGGAAGACTCCCCAGCATTAATAATCTTTCTTTATGTGACAGACAATAGCTCTGCTCTTCACAGCTGGTAACCCCCAGTAAGCACTCACTCACAAAGACTGAGAGCATCTTACCAGCTCCACTAAAAATTTATACTCCCTGGGGCAGGAAATGAGGTCTTCCTAACCACACTGCATTAGCCATTCTAATGGACTCTTCCATTCATAGTTTTGTAACCACAAGGCAGGCACACAGTGAAGCTGAGTTTCTCACAAGAAGCCTCGGGGACTTCCAGGAACCACCCATCACTGGCCTACCTCCCATCAAGGGCTGTGAGACCCTAGAGGCCAGAAACATAATGAGGAGCCCTAGTACCTACTTTTAACTTAGTTGTGGCCTTAAAGCCCAGAAAACACACAGGTTTAAGTTTTAGAATCCAAAGATTCTAACCTGGTCCTTTGCTAATTACTGGTATTATAACCTTACAAGTTATCTGAATGCCCTGGGTCTCAAATTTTTCATTATAAAAAGGAAATATTATCTATTTCACAGAGGGTTCTATTTAGGATTAGTGTAACTTCTTATTTTCAATCTCTGCCTCCAGTTTACCACATTTAAAATTTGGACAGTAATGTCATTCTTTCTTCCTCCCCAATATTTTGAGGTGGGTTCCTCTCAACACTACAAGATGTCCATATGTACAGCATAAAAACATGGTCCTTCACATTTATAGATGATTTTAATGTATGATGCAGGCACAGGACTGAATCTTTCATAGTTCTTAGGACAAGGTATAGCATAAAACAAATGTTCAGTAAATGCTTTATAGAATGAATAAATATAAATGAGATATAATTCTTAAAGTTCACATGTTTTTCACGTCTTACTATACTGAATTATTTCAATGCTTTTGTGCGATATATATTACCATGCACATTCTATTTTATTTTTTACATCATTGTTCATTTTTAAACAATATTTGCTTCCTCCCACCCCCTCAGGTGTAGTCCCCATAGAGTTTCCTTCCCCAAGGCACTCGTGCACCATCACCTTAGCACCCTGTGCTCCTTCCTCCCTCCCTCTGATCCCTCTCCCTCCTCCTCCCCTGCAGATTTATAATTGTCCATTTTTGCTTTGTTGTGTTTTGTACTGTTATTTTGTACTGTTTTTGTACTGTTGTTATTTTGTACTGTTTTTTTACACTGAAGTCTTATTTGGTTCCTCTATATTCCTGCTATAAGTGAAACCATCTGATATTTTTCTTTTTCCTTCTGGCTTATTTCACTGAGCATAATTCCTTCTAGCTCCACCCACGTTGTTGTGAATGGCATGAGTTTATCTTTTTTAATTGCTGAATAAGATTCCATTGTGTATCTACACCACATCTTCTTGATCCAGTCATCTATTTTGGGGCATTTGGGTTGTGTCCAGGTTTTACCTATTGTAAATAGTGCTGCAATACACATAGGGGTACAGGTGTTCTTTTGAATCAATGTTTTTGTGTTCTTTGGGTAGATCCCTAGGAGTGGAATTGCCAGGTCATATGGTAGCTCCATTTTTAGTAGACTGAGGAACCTCTAGACAGCTTTCCATAGTGGCTGGACCAGTTTGCACTCCCACCAGCAGTTTAGGAGAGTTCCTTTTTTACCACATCCTCGCCAACATTTGTTGTTGCTTGTTTTTTTGATATGTGCCATTCTTACTGGTGTAAGGTGGTATCTCAATGTGGTTTTGATTTGCATTTTCCTGATGATAAGGGATGTTGAACATTTTTTCATATGCCTGTTGGTCATTTACCATGCACATTTTATGGGATAAACATCTAGGTAATTGGATTCTCACCTTGAAAAACAGTAACTTTCTAACCATAATGATGATTTTATTTTAAAAAGTTGACATGCCCTTCATGGACCTCAATATTTGGCTTAGACACTTGTAAAAGACTTACAAGAGCACAGTGAGGTATGCAATGTCCCTTTTAACAGTGATTTCTCTAGTATACCAAGGGTTTTCTCTCACCAAAGCAGATCCTGGCAGCTTCCATTAGAGGTATCTGACTATTTTCATTGTAATAAGGGTCTCTCATTTTCTGAAACCCAGAACTTTCTCCTATCTATAGCCTACCTATTAACATTCCTACCCTATAACTAAAGAGCAGAATGCAAGGGAATACCCTTCATGTCTTCCTTCTGCTGAAGACAAGCTCTTGGGTCAGTAGACCTTAGAATTAAGGGATAGTTCTCCCAGCTGACAGAGGTACCTGCAAATGAGGACTTCAACATTTAAAAGAATCCCATGCATAGAGGAATGGAAGGACTGCTAGATGAGGAGACAAGAGACATGAGTTTAAATCTCTTCTAAATCAGCTTTCTCTCCTAAGCACCAAATTTGTATAAAAATTGCACACTGGCAGTTCCACAGCAAGGTCTCGCAGGCAGTATCCAACTTCTTCATACCTATAGCTTCACCTGTTTTCTTTTTGCTTGACTAATATCACTCACTATGAGTCATCCTCACATTCAGTCACCTAACTCTGGTGATGGGCAGACTCTGCCAAATCTACCAATCTAAGTATCTCTCAAAACCATCCATTTCTCCCACTCACACTATGCTACCAGCTTGGTTCAAACCATCATCTCTCACCTGGAATTCCATGATAACCTCCTGACTCTTACCTCCTCTAGTCTGCTCTCCACACTGTAGTCAGAGTGATTTTTTCCCCCAAAATCTGCAGGCCTCATCCTATTACTTCTCTATTTCCAGTCTGCTACAGTAATAAACTAGCAGTGTCTCTATTGAGTTAAGAAGGACTAAAAATTAACCAAAATAAAAAGAAACAATGCAGAAGCACCAGTTGGTGTACTCACCTCCTGCCCTGTGGCCACATCCATTGCAGTGTACACGGTGCCCGAAGCACTGAACAACAGGTGGAAAAGAGAAATAAAAAACACAGGTGTTCAATGAATTGAATTTGCCAAATGCCAACTCTACATACAATGTGGCAATGCAAGTGTTAATAACAGCAGCAAAAATAATCCCCCATTGCTCCCATCTCCATTCTTATATTTGAGAGGCAGCATACAGTAGTAAAGAGAATATAGGGTCTAGCAGACAAGAGACCTGAGTTCCAATGTAGAAGTAAGTACCTACAAGTTAGTATCTGAACAGATTACTCAGTTTCTTTGAGCTTCACTTTACTTATTTGTAAAGATAAGACTACACAAGAGAATTTAAATCAATCAGCATCAAGTGCTACAATAGGTCTTTAATATATACTAGTTTCCTGTTTCTGCTTCCTCCTCTTATTCCAGCACCAGTGGCAAATGGCTTTACTCTCTTGTGACCTCAAAATCTGCATCTTTAAACAGGGATAAGATTAGATATGTGACTTCAATTAGAGGTGAGGGGTAAGGGTAGGGAGAGTTTCAGAATGAGGAGGGGGGCTGAATATAATTTATCAAAAACTGATATGGACTTCTGGGGAACCAACAATGTGGGTACCAGTTACATGGGTGTGTTCACTTTTTGAAAACTCATCAAGTTGTACACTTATGTATGTTATATTCCACTACAATTTACATTAAAAAAAAAACTGTACCTACCAAAAAACTTGTATCACACTGAATAATCTAAAATAATCTCAAAGTGTTCTTCCCACTCTGATACGATGACACTTTAAAACAGTGTTTTTTAATCATTTATCTTATCATGCAGATATGTGAATTTTATATTCTAGTTTGTATTATGAAATAGGTTTTTAGTCATTTTTTCAAAGATAAAATGACATTAAATATGCTTCTTCGAATACATAGGCTCCCAGAAATTCTGATACTATTTCTACCTCAAGATAAAAATAACCTCACTATAAATACATATATGTATATGCACATACATTTACATACAGTAGGAGAGGAGAGAAAGATGGAAAGAGGAAGGGAAATAAAAAACCCTAAGAATAATGCTAGAAAGGTAATCATGTCCATTCAAAATACTAAAACCTTATTTCACGCCTATAACCATAAATATCGCATATGTTTAGGTGTATAATATGCTAAATATTTGTAATTGTGCATGCCATATGTCACATATATATATGATGCAATTTGAAGAAATTTAAAATTATCATGTATTGCAAAAATGCACTCTATGCATTATACTTCCCAGGGGAAATCACCTGTAAGATCATTTTATAGCTAGAAATTATGGTCACCAGTTTCCTAACCACCATTTTTAAGCTGGAACCCTATATCCATGCCAGGAAATTGTGATTGTAAGATGCTGGTTATTAAATAAGGATTGGATTATTTGCATGACAATTACTTCTCCATGTCTGCTCACCCACCTCTAGTCATCGTCTGTCATAAAAGTAGTGTGTATCTTCCTATCACCCTACTCCTTATCATATGCACCATTTTTAAAGAGCAAATATGCCCAGACCTCAGAGGACTGGACATTTGGGACTATGTTTCCATGATTAAGAGGTCTAGAAAGGTACCTAAGCCCACTGGTTAGTACTTAATTATTTCTAAACTGAACAGACATATGATTAGACATATGAATTCCCAATTAAAAAAGCAAATCTTCAGATCTTAAAGGTGGGGAGAAAGCAAGCAAAAAGTACAATAGTATTATTTACAACACTTGTGTGGCATTTACAGTTTTAAAATCATGGAACATGAAAACATCTACATAAGTGCTTAACTATTTTATTTCTCCCTTCACTCTAATAGTCTTGTCAAGAAAATAAGGGGAAAACATTTTACAGATGTTGCTTATTAATGGGCCTCGTGTGTTTGGGAAAAAAAGTCTGGATTTTTGGAAAGATCCTGAATCCCCAATCCCTCTCCCTTAAATTTATGAATAAAGAAACTAAAGTCCTGAGATGGAACCTGACTTGCCTGAGTTATCCATGTTACTTTCTGCTACATTCTTACTATCTTAATGTAGTTAGCTAAAGGAAATGCCATACCCAGATTATCTGTGACAAGCAAAAGGAGTGTTAACTAATTTATGCCATTAAATTAGTGTTAACTAATTTATGCCATTCAGACTTACAAAAGTATGTCTGGTAGGAAAAGCAATGGACCAGGAAAAAATGAGGTACACTCAAGTCCAGGATTTTAAGGATTAAGTTAAACAACAGATGGAAACTGTAGAATGATGCACATACACAATATCACTATATCATGCACCTCATTTTATTTTCAGAAGTTCTTTTATGCATAAAAAAGAAAACTAAATCAGAAAACTTCAAAGATTTCATTAGCAACAATGTCTTAATTCAACCAAAACTGAGCTTTCTATAAACCAGATACTTCTTTATCAGTTCTTTTTAATTGTAGCACTTTGGTAAGATCTGTGGAAATCTTATTCTTTTTCTCTTTTATATAAAAGTATATTGGGCCTCCCCGATGGCGCAGCGGTTGAGCGCTGGGTTGCGAAGCTGCCCGCAGCCTCTGCAGCGCCAATTCGATCCCCGGCTGCTCCCCGGCCATCGGAGGAGGATCCCAAATGGCGTGCAGACCTCTCCTGCCGCCCGCTGCTCCCCTCAGCAGTGTACTTCGGTCCTTCTGCCTGCTCTGCTCCCTGCTCTGGCTCTGGTGAACTCTCTCACCCTCCCGTGCTTCTGACTATACCCAGTGCTTGTATGTATGTATCAATCAATCAATCAATCAATCTTTAAAAAAAAAATTAAAAAAAAATAAAAGTATATTTACCTGAAGTAATCTGCACAAATCTTAAGAGTACAACTTGATGACTTTTTGTACATATGTACACCTCATGTATTCAGTACCAAGATCACCCTAAAGGACCCCCTCATGTTCCTTCCCAATCAATATCCCCTCCCCAGAAGTAACCATTATTCTGGCTTCTATTAGTAAATGTTATTTTGCCGGTTCTTGAACTTCATATAAATAGAATCATATAGTATCTGCTCTATAAGTCTGGCTTCTTTTGCTCAAAATAACAGCCAAACATTTTTAAGACATATCACAGTATATTATAATTTTGTGCTTGGCTATCTTCTTCTGTAGACATGAGGAACTTCAAAGCAGAGATTGTCTAATTCATAGCTGCACTCACAGTACCTCGCACACAACAGAAACTCTGTTGAGATTTGCTAAATTCAGTACACTGCAGGCAGCATACAAGATTTAAAGAAGGAACCAAAGAGCAGGGACGTGGCACCCACCCAGAAACATAGGTCCTATTACGTTAGCAGAAAGATCTGCAGTTTTGAGTCCATCCTATTTCACATTAATGCTGGTAGGTCGTAGCACTAGACAAAGGGTTAATCTGGAAAAGGAGAATTGTAACTGGGGAAGCAGGTTTTGTGCTAAGAAGTTAAACATTTTTATCACTCTCATTGCAAAAATATTTTTAGCAACTTGATCAGCTAATGGCACATCTCTCACATTAAGTACAATTCCACCAAACCTAAAGTTAGTCTAACACACCTCCAAGTGGGTACGGGGTGAGGTGGAGGAAGAAAACAAGATTTATGAGAGGCAAAACAAAAGCACACATAATTTTTAAGTCATTTCTCTAGGGAAAGAAAATGCCCCTACTAACCCTTGTCCAATCTTCTCAAATCGTGTATATTTCTTCTTAGGATCGCCCACACTCACTATGCTGCCTTTGAAAGAAACAGAGACCATGAATCATTTTTTTCCCAGATCAAGATACAAACAGGTCCATGCGCTCCCAAGCCCTGGAGGTGGCAAAAATTAAAGACTTACCTTATTATTACCACAAAACTATAATAAGCAGGTCCTTAGCTTTCCCCTATAAATTCCAATAAAAATTTTCAGCTCTTTCACTGTTTTTATTCATAGTAATCTATTTAATTTTAAATTCCTAAGAGTCAGTCATTCATTTTTAAATTCACTCATTCAATAAACAGTTATTCATTTAATATGCTCACTTACTCTGTACAAAGCCCTATGTTGAGTGCTAGGAATGATGAGGTAGATGAGACACAGTTAAGAGACCCTACTCTCCAAAAACTCAATTTCATGAAGACAAAATAAGTATAAAGTTTGATGAAAATATAATAATTACTGTGATAGATGGCAAGAGGATATAGAAAGAGACACAAAATACAGACTGCTAAGCCTTCAGAAAGGAAGTGATATCTGGGTTGATTTTTACAACGTAAGGAGGAGTTGGCCAGGGGGAATAAATAGCGAAGCAGTTACAGAAGTCCTTCAAGTGCAAAGACACAGAGGTATGAGGCAGTTCACTGGGTTTCACAACTTGCAATCTAGAGATGGTGAAACTGAGGCCCCCAGAAGGGAAGATACTTCCATCCAAGGTCACAAATCAAATTTGGTGTCAAAGCCAAGTCTAGCTGCTTGTTTTTGTTTTCCCAGTGCAATGTGCTTTCCACTAAACACCATTTACTAAGACTTGGTACTTTCCATAAAATTCTTCTATTTGATTTATAAGTGAGACAAGTATTATCATCCCTATTTAAAAGATGAGAAAAAGGAGGCCAGTAAGCCAGAGAACAATAGGAAATTGCCCAAGAACAAGGCAATGGCAGAGCTGGGGTTTCAACCTTGCCTTCAGACTATTCACTATATAAAAGCATAATCTATGGCCAAGATATCAAGTGTAATTCCCAAGGCCAGTCTGCTTTCCATCATTCCGTGTTCTAAATATTTTTTTTTAATCTGGTTCAGAGAAAAAGCCTTCATATAAGACCAAATACATGGGGTAGGTAAGTGGCTTTTCTTCATCATCTCTTAAGGACTCTGGGCAAGCGCAACTTAAAAGAATGAAAAAAAAATGTAAGTCAAACAAGAATTATCAGGAAGAATTTGAGAGCTGCTAAGCTAGAGAACCACGAGACTGAGCTTTAGAAAGCAATGCCATTCAACAGATATGGTTAAATTCAATCCTCTTTAGAAGGCGATAGGTACAAAAAAATAAATTAGTGACTTGTCAAATGGTTTTGCCAAGTCTGCAGAACAATCCAGTCCTTCCTCACCCTATCAATTCTCCTGCAGTTTATTAGAACACACAAATAAGCTACCCTAACATGTTCCCATTTCTTGCCACTAAAGAAAGTAAAATAAAAGTTTCTGCCTGAAAGGAAAAGGCAACAAGCTTTATCACAGGGACACAAGTCACGTTCTAACCCCAGTCCTGTCAATTTCTGGATATGTAGTTTGGGACAGGGTATTTAGCAGTTCTGAGTCTCAATGCCTTAACTGCGAAAATGAGGATTATAATGCCTATCTTCACAAGGTTTTTATGAGGAATAAATGGGGAAAAATCAGGAAAATACATGGCTTGTCATTTGATACATAGTACAGGCTCATAAAAGGTTAGCTTTCCTTCTCTCTTTCCTGCAACCAAGAGAGCAGATCTGTCTTGTCCTAGGTCAATGGCAAGCATAAATAATCACAGCACTCTTTCCCACCAGGTACACACAAGGCGTCAAGTCATTCTCAACACAACATTCCAGACTATTTGCTAGATAAAAGCTATTTGTTATCTCCATAACCTGGGCGTAGGGGGGTGTGACATGGATAGTTCTCAAAATAAGTTATTCACACTCTCTCCTCACATTCCCATGCCAACATGGTATCTAATTAGAGCCAGTGAGACATAGTGGGTGCAGGAACACAGTGAGCAGAGGCATAATGTGCGGCTAATAAGCATAACCAGTCAGCCACATGGACCACGTCTAGGGCCAAGATAGTTACAGCAATGGAATTCCATCCTTGTGTTCAACCAGTTACCTATGAGAGAAAAGTTCAGAAAGCTGCAAAGTACTTACGTAATTTCTCCAAAATCTCCTCATCAGACATTTTAGGTTTCTTCTTCTGTTTCTCAGTATTCCGAGTGAGAGTATCTGGTGGAGCAGCATTATTCTCAGTAGGTGAAATGGGAGATGTAGCCACGTCCCGAGTTGGAGTAACAGGAAGTGGTTCAATCACGGACCGTGTGTATACCTGCGTTGTTGGTGCAAGAATTTGGCAAGGCCAGCCTTTGTTAGCATGAGGAAGCTCATTAGCCTCTTACAGATATGTGTTAGAATGTCCAAAGAAGAAAAAAATGCAGACAAATTCATCCTTTCTTCTAGATCAATGTACACCTGAGGGATTAGTGAAAGTGTGAACATCGAAGATATTCAATACAAGATAGACAACTCAACAGAAATGATTTGAAGGAGCATCGAGTGTTAAATGGGAATCTGTTTCATCTGTAATATTCTATTCTTTCCCTCATTGAAATATCTTATATTCCCACAGAACTTTGCAACTGCTAATACAACACTTAACATTATCTTCTTCTGAGTTTTACTCCTTCTTTAAATCCTGGACTCTTTCAGAGAAGGGACTACAACAGTTCTTCTTTAAGAGGCAATGGGCTGTAGTCATTTCAATCCCAGATTCTGGAATCTGACTGCCTGGTCTTAAATCCCAACTCTCATTCTTCCTATTTGTATGACCTGAGATAGGTTACTTAACTTCTTTGTGCTTCAGTTTCATTTGTAAAATGATATTAATGATACCTATCTTACGCTAATAAGATAAGTTGTGGTAATAAATTATTTGATGTGTAAAATGGTTAGAATCACACCTACCAGATGATATGATTTTCAATTTTAGCTAATAATACATTTTCTATTCATTCATTTACTTAAAAACATCCACTGGAAATCTATTTTTTGCCTCACTTCGTACAAACCTTTGCCCCCATCCTCTCATTCATATGAAAGAAATGTCATTAAAGTTCTGAATAAGCCAGAAAGGGATAAATGTCATAGGAAATGAGCAAAGTATATACTGTTGTGGTACAGAAGAAGTACTCATAGATTATATCCCCTTTCCCTGTGACATGTTTCAAGGCATTTAATTTTTTTTCATAAATAGATCACAATTATCTTTCAACTCTATGAAAACAGAATCCCCGAATTTCTGTAACTTAAGCTACTGCCTAACAAAAAAACAGGGATTCAGGAAAATGTTTGATGAATCAATGAACAAACAAGTGGAATTCATAAGCTGGATCTTAAAGAACGGACAGTATTTTAATAGGTGGAAATAGGAGCACACTTTCCACACAGTGTAAAGAGTAATAAATCAAGACAATGAGACCAGAGACTATAGCTTCTTTCTTGACTGCTCTAACATAATGAATTATTAATTTTCAATTCTAGTAGCTATAAACAAACTATATCCCTGGTACCTAAATCTATACTTTGATGCCTTGTCCTCCTACTTTGGTTCTTCTTATATGGCTCCTTGAAAGTGTAGACCCTACCTTTCCTTTCTCTAACATTATTTGTATCTGGCTCCTGGCACAGGCTCCTCTGCACACACAGAGAAGTCACTATCCTATAGGGGAAAGCAACCTGGGCTTGGAGTCAATTCCCTGCTTTCATTCCTGGCTCTTGCTTACCAAGAGACTCTTGGTAGATCAATTTTGCCTTTCCATATCTCAACTTTGCTATAAACTAAGAATTAACAATGCCTTTTCAGAAAAAGAATTCTATGAAGATCAAATTTATCGATTCATCTGTTCATTCAGTATTTACTATCTTTCTGGATCTAACACCTGCGAAGTAATAACTATATTAAGCACTGCAAGTGTGTGTGTATGTGTGTGTGTGTGTGTATTTCTTCTGCTTTAGAGGGGAGCTGATGGTATAGCGGGGGAAAAATAAAACCACTTTTCTTAATGAACATGTTTATAAACCAAAAAGGCCATATCGATGTGAACTATCTTGATAACTTCCAGTTCTGAAGCTCATTTTACTTATGGTAACTTTGTGACCTTAAGAAAGGGTGATTCCACAGATTCTGTTTATAAGTTCTCAACCTAAAAGGTCATACAATACCCTTGAATTTCCTTCAAAGTATCTCTCACAGTCGACCAACTTCAGCTCGAACACCTCCCTTAATACCGCACTCCAGAGGCAGCCTTTTATTTGTATTATCACAGAGTTTAAGCCCTAATCCTTCTTTTGTTATGAGGCTCTTGTATAATAAAAAATCCAAACAAAGAAACCCTAAAAAAGTATCATCTGATGATAGGTCAGTGCTTAATGACAGTGAGCAGAAGCATAATGTGCATGGGGATATAAAAGGCATGGGGACTAGACTGTATAAAGTGAGGACAGAGACTGTGGTTATTCTGACAATATGAGAACCTCAAAGGAAGTTAAATAAAAATCATTGCCAACATCCGGCATCAAAATGCACTCCTGATGTCTAGTACATTAATAGCACTAACATATTTATAAATTCTCTTGGGTCTTTCAGTATCATCATTGATAGTCTATGAGGCTGAACGCTGCACATTTAACAGAGAAGAAAAGATCTGCAGCTGGCTAATATGTTGCTTCCCAGGAGACTAGATAATTGATACTAGCCCTGCACTAAGTAACATTAATTCTATATATCTTCCTAAATGTCTGTGCAGAACAGGCTAAGTAAACTAAGGCTGGGTTGGTATAAACACAAGTTTTTAGGACACTTTGGTACAATCTGCAAACCAATGATAAATAAATATACCACTTCTTGCCTATCACACAGAAAATTCCTAATCACACAGAAAACTCAGTGATTTAACCAGCTCCAAAACAGGACATCTACCAGAATGCTAAACCTCTAGACTTCAACACCATCTCCCATCCTTCCCTCACATGCTAATAGATCACATAGCTGTGTATATTCCCAAAGACTTACAGATTTTGTATGCTCTGGGCGAGGAGCAATCACTGGAGGTGGGGTAGCATCATCATCATCATCTTCATCTTCTGAAACTGGAGGCACTGCTGGAGTCTCAGATACTGTCTTCACATTCTACATGGGGAGAAAGGTAGATTCATCAGGTCCATTTGCCATGGTACCTAATCTATCAGGATCATCAATCCGCCAAAAGAAAATTCATCCTGATACTCCTTCTGAAACCCACACTAGTCTCCAAAAACTCCAATGTTGTGTAGTCAGTCTCAGAACACAGTCGGCTTCCCTCTCCTTCAGCTATCACCATCTACTCAGTCGCTGGGAGGATTCCTTCTCCCACCCAAAGTCTAACTGTGGAATGGGAAATCAGTTTATAGCTCTTCTACCTACCTCCCTCACTCCACCTAAGGAAAAATTCATAGTTCCTTCTTACTCCATGAATTTTACTCTCCACATTGAACAGTCTAACGTCTGAGTTGTAGGGAAGGGATCACAAGTTTGGAATAGTAAGAAGTTTATCCCTGTAACTCCTCACTCTTTTCTAACATGGTAAATCAGTGAGACTTTTGCCTCTCATTTTCTTTTCTTTACCAAAACCTACTAGACCCATTATATGATTAGATGCCCTCATCTCAAACCAGGAAGATATAGAAAACCAGGAGTCCCAAGAAGACAATAAGTTTCTCCCCAGACTGAATGCTATCCATTTCACTAAGCTTTGCCCTGCAGTGGAATGAACCTTAAAGTACCACTAACTGAATCTGCTATAATCTCAAACAATTCGATTTTCCCATGAAAACTGTAACAAAGCTGGGCCAAGATTGGCAGGTTTTAGGGCAGGTCCAGGCAAAATTTCATACCATTACTGTTTAGAACACAGATTCATGAGACAAAGTAGCTCCAAAACATGAGGTTTAATAGAGATTAACTGATGGCTCCATCAGAGGCAAAAGGAATCTTTTAATATACATTGATATTATTCAACTTTTTCAGATATTTTCAGAACACCTACTTTGTATTTATTAAGACACTGTGATGAATGCTGTTGACATAAAGTTTCAAAAATGAAAAAGATGGTCCATGTCTGAAAGCAGCTCACCAGCTAATATAGGAGACAGAGGATAAGTTCCCCTCCTACCTGCCTTTTGGGGTTTCCAGGCAGAGGAAAGTCAGAATGACAGATAACTGAAGGAACTTACCTAGCAGAATACTAGTCTATGTCACTGTATGGAAGACTGGCTTTTACCACATCTGACATACTATGGCAAGAAAAACTGGTCATCTCATAGATCCTACCACAACCTCCACTAAAGGACACAACTTAAAAACTGACATAGGCATAGGACATAGGCATATGAAAACAACTAGCTTTGGTGATCAGAGGCAATGACTCTGTCTACTTGGCCTCAACCGTCAATACTTGAAGAAATGTGGAGGAAAGATGAGTGGTATAATTTGAAGGGTGACTTTAAGTCCCTTTCAGTTCTAAAATACAATACTGTAATGCATGTAAGTGATGTGTTTAACTACACTTTAAATTTTTTTTAATTTATATATATTTTACATCATTGTTCATTTTTAAACAATGTTTGCTTCCCGCCCCCCTCAGGTGTTGTCCCCATAGAATTTCATTCACCAGTGCGCCCGTGCACCATCACCTCAGTCTCCTGAGCTCCTCCCTCTCTCCCTCCAATCCCTCTCCCACCCCCCTCCCCTTCTAACTCCCCTTTTTTCTACTTAGCTACCGGCAAGCTGCTTGGGCAGTATTCTTCCAGTGAGGGAAGCAATATCTTTTCTACAATGCATGGAATGAAGTGTTTAACAAGATTTGTAATACAAATAATTCCTACATGCAGTATCTATAGAATCTCTCTGAACTGTCAGATTTTCTTAAATTCTCTTTCTGAATTACCTATTTCCTTTGGGTCAGTATCACTGCTTTATCTTAGTTCTTCTTTTTAATGCTTTGTTCCTCTCAAGTGTCTAGAGATCCTCAGCTATCCATTATTTACAAATGAAGCACTGATTGCTGTATGTAATAAACACGAGTTTCTTCTGTAGTTATGTAAGTCTGTTTCTCCATTGTCCCTTCCTCTGAATGGGAGGTCTGATGCAGTCTGCTATGTGAGTTATGGAGATGTGGTTATGACAAGCATCACTTTAGGGTATGCTGACATGGAAAAGGATATAGGATAGAGACTCCGCTCTTCCCAGTTATTGAAAATATAAGAAATTCATCTTGGGATGGAGAAATATATTTCTTCCACTGTAGAGCTGCTTATCCACCGTCTCTGCCCTCTCACCCGCCTTTAAAGAATTATAGTTACATCAGGTTGTACTCTACTTCTCTCCTCAGGTCCTTACACCCAGCTCTGGAATTTCTTCAAGCAGGAATTTACTTTCTTTAAAAAATTATGTGGCCTAAGTTTACAATCAAGATTCTACTACCTAGTGCTCACTGAAAGATGGAGATTGCACCTGGTGTTTCAAATGAAGAATTTTAATTAATTTTACCCTTGACGATGACCTGGGACTTCTTCCTGCTTCGTGTATGTCTCTGTGTGTGTTCGCTCAGCCCATTTTCTCTGGAGCTACTTTGATCTTACTTAGAGAATTTTCTCTTTGACGTACCTTTAAGTTGTTTCTTTTGCTCTGATCATTCTAATCTTCTCTGCTTTCTATCTTCCATGAGTTGCTGACAATAGTTCATTTATGTCCTGCTTAAGTTTTCGAACACTGTTTTGGTGTTTTTTTAAAAATATATCTTTTCTAGAACTAAGAAATTTGGGATAGCAAGAGAGATGGGCACATGAATTCATTCTACTAATCTGACCCAATTCTACAGGAATCTTTGTAAGATGTTAGCTAAACTAAAACACACATCCAACTACATCAATCTCCTATTTAAAATACTTCCTTAGCTCCAAAAGAAAGTGCTAGGTCTCTGGCCAGATATAATGCTTCCTAAACAATTTGGCTTTTGTTTATGCTATTTTGTACAAGAAAGCACTTCTTTATACTACCAGGCATAATAAATCACTTCATCAGATATGACTGTATTGTACATTGTTCATACCTCTTTTGCAGTCCTTATCCCTCTAGTCTGTCATTAATTTTTCCTCAAGGAGTAAGACAGTGCATATTCATTTTTATATCACTAATACCTGGCCACAAAGAAAGTGCTAAGTAAATATTTACAGTATAAATTAAAATAATGATTAGGAGAACTCAATTTTGGATGGGTTTCTACTAGGGAGCAAGTCGTTTACTCTCTCTGACCCTCAATTTCTTAACCTGTGTTATGAGGATAACGATCCAGTCCAATTGTTTCAAAAATCAAGTAGTATCATCCATGTGACACTAATATGAAATAATGAGATGATTCCACTATATTTCCTAGTCAGGATATATACTGTACTGAGCCACAAGGACAAACATTCTGAATTAGGGGAGAAAAATTTCCTTGACAGCCTGAATGGTTTAATTGTAGATACCAAACCAGTGCAGGTTTTTTGACCAAGCAGGTGTCATCCTCTCCGCCATATGGCGTGAGCCCCAGGGCTCCTCCTCCTCAATAACAAACAACATAGCTAACATTGTACTGCAGTCTCCTTTAGAACGCCTCCCTGATACCTTCTTTCTTAGATCCCTGCCATGGTGAGAGGAATCCCGTACTGGGACTCAGAAGACCCTAATGCTAGTTGGAGTTCTGCTGCAACAGTTAGTTATGAGTATTTAGAAAAATCTATTTTTCTACCTGTGACATGAAGGTAATATTACTTTCTTCACAAGGCAATTGTGGGGTCTAATTATGCTAACATATATAAAACTGTATGTGCCTGGCATATACTGATCATTCCTTATATAAAAACATAAAGACATTTGAGTTACAAAGCTCTGTTCTGCTTTGTGCAGACCCCTTCCTCAATAATTTACTGATTAATAACCTCAAGAAACTTCCAAACATCTTAGTTTTTGCAAGTTCTCCCCCATCTTGTAACCACATCTCTTCCATCTGATGAGAGGAGAATGAACCAGGAGAAAAAATGTGGGCTGGGAATCAGATATCCTATAGCCATTAACACTCCTCTATTTCAGTTTTATTGTCTATTAAACAAGGATAATAATGCACCTCATTAAACTCCTCTGAGGATTTAAAGAAAGTGAGTAAGAAAAGACCCAGTATGCTAAAAGGCACTAGACATATGATTTTTAAAAAATAATAGCAAAAACGACTCAGAATGATTCCCATTAATGGAAGCATAATACAAAGTATTTTCATGGTAATTCCATATTATGTTAGAACTCACCATTTTCCTGCTTAAATTTTTTCAAAAGCTTCTCGCTACCTTTAAAATAAGGTTAAAATTCCAACATGATCTGACCTGCCACCCAGTCCTCCTCACCACCCATCTCTAGTCTCTTCACACTCCACATTCCAATCATAACAAACCACTTACAGTTCCCTGTGCAAACATAACTCATGAACTTCTTTGCTTTTGTACATGCCATTTATTCTCTGTCTGGACTATGATTGTCTCTCCTTAATTCTTGCTTTAGATAACTAAATGATTCAACTCAGACTCTACCATCAAGGGACATATCTAGCTGTTCATTCAGGAAATGGTCAGTTGCAAGTTGCCAAGGATATAGCAATTAATGAGTCAGACATAGTCTTTTATGTCACTCACAAGACTGGGGGTTCTTAGGAGGCCAGATAATGTCTGATTCATATCTATACTGCCATTTCTCCACATGGGACCTGGCATAGAGTAGAGACTTTGAAAATGTTTAGTAAAACAATATGACATAAGCATCTTTGTATAAAAGGTGTAAAGAATAGCAGTATTCTCCTATATATCACAGCTTACTAGATTTTAAACCCTTACAAACATATCAACATTTCATTTTATTTGCTCTGGAATAGAATCTATAAATTGAGAGAAGAGAGGAACTGTGAAATCATCTAATTTTACTTCCATTCAATTCATCAATGATTTCTATAATATCCCTTCAAGTAACAGGCATTCACTACAACTTCACTTCTATTCTGAATAGAATCTATTCTCCTCAACATTTAGTTCTAATCCTGGTTTTATGAACTGGCCAACCAAAGAAAGGAAATTCTTTCTAAATTCAGGTAAATTGAAGTCATGTCCCAGTAAGGGATTTCATTTTATTGAAAAAAACTGAAGCTCAGAAAAGCAAATTGACTTTCCCAAGATTCAAAGCTATAGATGAAAAACTGAGCCAAGAAGTTAGCTCTTAAGGTTCTATGGTTACCATTTCTAGAGCATTAAAAAAATTAAATGCTGGAAGAGATTCCCACTGTTTATGAGGTCTAATTGCTTTATTGTATAGATAGGGACTATGAAGTCCAGGGTGGGAAAGTAACTAAGATGAATGCCTCTCAGTCTAGGCTCTGCATCTACGACATATGGTCTTGATCCCTAACTATATCAGAACAGAAGAAACAAAGACTTACCAAAGTGTTGGATGAATTATAATCCTCAGCTAATTTATCTGCAAAAGAAAAAAAACAAGACAAAGGACACAGTCAATAAACAATAACCAATTAATCTTTTCTTGAGAGGTAAGGAAGCCTATCCAGTCAAGTACTTTCCAAGCTCATAGGATAATATAGTATGACTGCTTCTATGGGTCCAACACCATGCTAAGCACATTATATATATTACCTTCTCTAATCCTTACTTCAACACTAAGTACTATCATTAGGTCTTCTTTTATGGATTTGTTGAGAGGTTCCTAGAAGTAAAGGAAGTTGCCTTTGGTGACACAGGTTAAACAGGAGTCAAGATCTGAATCCTGACCCAATCCTAAACATTTTTTTTTCACTTTCTTTTTTTTGGTTATAGATAATTTTTTTTTTAATTTTTATATTCCCCATACAATTGCAAACTCCTTATTTTGACCCCATCCCTCCTTTCCCCACCCTACCCCCCATAGTGTGTCTCTGGTTCATAGTTGTTTGTTGATCTTGATTTTTTCTTTCTTATAGTTATTCTTTTTCCTGGTCCCTTATTTAGGTTTTCTAGATTCCTGTTATGAGTGAGACCATCCGGTATTTTTCTTTTTCTTTCTGGCTTATTTCGCTGAGCATGATCCCTTCCAGCTCCATCCATGTTGCTGCAAATTGCATGTGTTTATCTTTTTTGATTGCTGAGTAATATTCCGTTGTGTATATGGACCACATCTTCTTGATCCAGTCATCTATTTTTGGGCATTTGGGTTGTTTCCAAAGCTCAGCTATTGTAAATAGTGCTGCTATAAACATAGGGGTGAAGTGGGCAGAAGAGCTAAAAAGAAACTTCTCCAAAGAGGAAATACAAATGGCCAACAGGCATATGAAAAAATGTTCAACATCACTTGCAATCAAGGAAATGCAAATCAAAACTACAATAAGATACCATCTCACACCGGTGAGAATGGCACATATTAAAAAAACTAGCAACAACAAATGTTGGCAAGGATGTAGAGAAAAAGGAAACTCTCCTGCACCGCTGGTGGGAGTGCAAACTGGTCCATCCACAATGGAGAGCTGCGTGGAGATTCTTCAACCTACTAAAGGTAGAGCTTCCACATGATCCAACAATTCCACTCCTAGGTATTTACCCAAAGGACACAGAAAAATTAATCCTAATCCTAAATATTATGCTAGAACTTTATCCATACTATCAGCTGTATCACCACTGGACCTCAATGGCTAAAGAAATTTCCTGCATTCTACGAGAAAGGGAAAGAATTCCTGGTTACCACCATCCTAAGCCACTCATGAAAAATCATGAACAGGCTGCAGCTACAATTTGTAGAAAGAACCCTCCATAAGGTCTGTTTCCCACAAGAGAGGGAAACCAAGGCTTCGGAAAAGAGAGGGACTAATCATGTCAAGTCTAATTAAAGGCAGAGTTTTGTTCCTAAGAACAGGTTCAAACTCCCCAGTAAGACAATTACCATATTTCATTGACTCAAAGGTGTACATTTTAACACTAACATCTCTGAAACAGAGATGAATCCTACAAAGGTATTACATGATTTAATTGCCAACACTTTCTTTCTTTTGTGGTATATTAGGTAACAGTGGATCTTACAATCAGTGATATCTTAGACTTGTGAAAATATAAAACATGAACCTAGTAAAGATCTTAGCAAGAAAATAAGTTTAAAGACCGAGAATTATGTTTGTTTGTTTTTAATTCCTAAAGGTCCAAGAAGAAACTGGCTTTGTCAGTTCACCACAAACGGTATTAAGAAATATTCTACCAAATCTAAAATATCTTTCACTAAGAATCAACACCAGAAAACTTCCAAGATCTCAACTCCAGCAATATGAGAAAGTGCCAAATAAAGCTTCTCTGGTTCTATGGCAAATCCTAAACCCCACAAAGCAGGAAATACAGCAGACTGTGATAATATGTTCTTAAAACATATCCTGAACAGCCAGCTGTATTGTGGAGAAATCAATTCAGGATATACTTTAAACATAATTCATTTGTTTTTCCTGTCCGAAGAAACATCTGTGTAGGCACAGAAAAGTGCAACTGTACAACACTGTACAGTGCCTTTACTGTACCACACTGGACCGTATGCCTTGCTAGTGTTTACATGATGTCAGTATTCTGGTAATAAATATGTCTGTTATACCAGTAAGCACTGTTTCTTTTAAACGTGATATAAAATTTCTGTACAGCAAAATCAATTCAAAGCACAGAAAGACAGAGCAGAAAGTATTTCGATCCTTTTGTTCTACAAATGAGAAAACTAAGGTTCAGAGAGGGAAAGAAACTGGTTCAAGGTTTCTTTTAATGGCATAGTAGGGCTAAAGCCCATGACTTTGGGTTGTCAATCTTGTCTACATTTTGCTTATCATATTAGCTACTAGTTGGTACGGGGGAAAGGGCTAAAAAATGACAAAAAATTTGGCATGGAGGATTGTGCTTAGATGTCAGACAGCAAAGGAATTAAGGGCACTAGTTAAAACACACTTCCATCTCATATCAACTAAATCACCCAAAGTCACTTCTCTTCTCTAAACCTAATTAATTTCTCTGAGTTTGTAAGATGGGGTAATAGTCCTTGCCCTGACAAATCTCTAAGGTCATCATGAGAATCAAATGAGATCATTCATGTGCAAGCATATACAAATTAGTGTTATCATAATTAATGGTATGAATAAAGGGGAAACAGGTAAAGGGAAGATATAACTTTAAAAATAAATTCTGCCAAGTATATAATTTTGGCAGGCATTGGATATGATCTTCAACTTCTAAAAAACAAGAAAATCTTGTATGTATACAAACACAACATCCATTATGGACACGTGTGCACAAATTTATACACAGAGCAGTAGATGTATTTTATACATATACACTCAATGCTATTCATCTGTGCATGCACAGATGAATGTACATACAGTTACCTGGAGGTGTACATCTATACATATTATTCATTTACTCACAAAAATACTAAAGTGGACTTTATTCACAAACATATGCAAACTCACAAGAGCTGTTTCCATATGTGTGTGTGTGTGTGTGTGTGTATGGCTTTAGTATACATCTATATACATGTATACATAAAAGCAGACAGATTCTTCCAGTGGCTTTGCTGCTGAGGACTTTCAAAACCAACTTCTAATCAACAAGCTCTAAACTTCTGAACACAAAAATTTTCTACCTGGCAACTCTCAACCCTAAATCCACCTTGAAATGACCCAATCCTCAATGGGAGAAGTGAGGCAGATCAGCGGGGCCAGACGTGAGGAAGGAAATACTGCTGGGAACAAGCATGACCCTCTTCTGGGTACCACCATGGCAGCATGAGCAAAGCTGCAGTCTGTCAAACTCACCATCTGTGCCCTTTGATACAAGCCAGATACTCACTGGGAAAGCATTCTTTAAAATCATCTAGTTCATCCTGGGTCTCACTTTTTCCAACCTGCTCTTTAGCAGAAACAGCACAAACATTGGAAAGAGCACTGAATTGGAACTTAAGATACCAGCCCTGTCAATAATTCAGCCACATTATTTTGAAAGGCCTTTTTGGCTTTAATGTCTGGAAAAATAGGAAGGAGCTAGAAGTGATATATATTAAGGATATCTCTTTTTTTATTATTAAAAATTTTTGTTGAGGTAATGTTGATTTAAAATACTGTATGTTTTGGTTACAGGACCACATCTCTTCAAAAGTGTGTTATCACTCTATGCCCACCAACAAAACGCCCATATTCCAATGGGTCCCTTTCCTCCTACAGCTCTACCCCTTCTCTCCTCTGGTAGCCTTAGTTGTGCAGTTAAATTTCAAAGGTTTGTTCTGGCTTAGTTTTGTTTGTTCTTTTGTCTTGTTACTCTGTATTCTACATATGAGTGAAATCTGGTATTTGTCTTTCTCTTTTTGACTTATTTCATTTATTTAGCATAATCCCCAACAGTTCCATCTATGTAGTTGCAAATGGTAAGGTTCACCTTTTTTATAGCTGAGTAGCAGTCCACTGTATATATCTAGCAAATCTTTTTAATCTACTCATCTGTAGTTGTGTACTCAGGTCATTTCCATACTTTGATTATTGTAAATAGTGTTGCAATGAACATAGGGGTGTATATACACCTTGAAATTTGTGTTTTTGTATTCTTCAGGTAGGGAAACTGCTAGATCATATGGTAGATCTATTTTTAATGTGTTGAGAAGCTACCACACTGGTGTTTTTTTTTTTTTTACCACACTGATTTTAAGGATACTTCTTATTCTAACATTCTAAGATACTACATATGAGGCAAATTCCCAGAAATGTAAGTCTTCTCATAACTTATCCAGGAAAAGATAAATCTTTCTGCTGTGGAAGGAGGTCCTCTAAATAGTTACTAAAGGCAAGTCATAAATTCAAAAGGTGTTGGTCTAGGCATTAGGAGATCTGGATTTTAAAAACCCCAATTTTGCTATTAAAAATACACTGAAAAACATAATCCCTTACACACAGAGTACATCTAATGAACACTTATTATTACTGGAATGTTTTTCATTCTACTGATAAACACTAATTTATTGAGAAAGAAATTAGGCTTGTCTACTTATAACATAAACATTAATGTTATTAGATAACTTCTTGATGTTAAAAATGAAGATAATGACATTTTCTTGGTGTTATTCTATAATCTAGACATAACTGTCACATCAATGAGCTCATTCATGCCTCACTAAAGCCTTGTGAAACAGGAATTGTTATGCACATTTTGAGACTCTAAGAAATGAAGTGACTGTTAGAATCTAATGACTTTCAAAATCTAGATCTTCTAGTACAAAGTCTATGTTTTTTTAATCATAATATTCTACTTTTTAAAAGCATGCCGTTTCAGAGCACAGACTCAAGCTTGATGCAAAAATTCTATCTCAGCAAAAGTGCCGTCTTCACTCTTTCCAATACCTTCTTTCCTTACCCCACAGCAGTCTGCATGTGGAACTTTTCCACCATATAAAAACTCTTCGCTAGACTGCCCATACCTGTAAAGCTCATGTACTTCTGGCTATTGGAAGTCTTCTTTGAGTTATAAAATTCCAATACATCCAGTACAGCTTGCGGGTTTTTCTTCTGCTCTGACTTAGTGATATTTGATGTTTGAAGCAAGCGAGCCCACTGCTCTGGCATCCCCTGTAAGAGAGACAGGCAAGGCTGTAAGAAAGTCACAGTCACAGAGAGGAGGCTGAGGGAAAATCAGATGGGATACATACTAGCAGATAAAGACAGTTATTCCTTTCTCTCTGTACCCTCGGAGCACTACACAAGCCTCTCCTACATACCTATCTCATTGTATTAGCCATTTTTTTGAGCTGTCTGCTCCTTCACCAGACTATTTCTTTCTCCTTTAGTGCAGGACCCACATCTGATTTATCTTTGTATCATTACTGCCCAGCACAGAGCCTGCTGCTACGAGGCTACTTAAAAGAGGTCTATTTAAGGAATGGAGACTCAGAGTCTTCCCTACTACATTGTAGAAATAAAGAAAGTGTCCCTCTCATAGATATAAGAACGTAATAATGAGTGTCTCAGGCAAAGACAGAGGCATCAGGAAGATTACAAAGGACTGAATATAATGGTGCATAGATAGAAACCCAGGACTTACCGTAAACTCCCCTGTGACAGCATCAAAACCAACATGAATTGTGTGCTCAAAATCTGAAGGAAGAGATATCTCTGGTCGTTCTTTCTCCTTCTTTTTATTTGCTGCAAGAGAAATGGAAAAGGAAATTAAAAAAGGTCATTATTATGCTTTTAGACTCAGTTCTTTACTGAACTGTACGTTCTTTTAGAGGCCAAGGACTACCTACTTCACATACATATTTACACAATCCTACATGGGGCCTAGATTGGAGTAGATGCTCAATACACGATTAAAGTCTTGTAGTCTATTGACCTTAAGAGAGGAGCAGAAAGAACACTCATCAGAGTTAACGGTCCTGGTTCTACAACTAATAAATAAACCAGTTGGTGCAAGACAAATCACTCCCTTTTTCTGAATTCTGTCTTCTCCATCTGTTAAAAGAGATCCCCTGTTAAAAGTAGAGGGTCTTGGGCCTCCCTGGTAGTGCACGGGGTTAAGCACCGCACCATGAAGCAACCCACAGCCTCTGCTGCATGAGTTCAATCCCTGGCCGGCCAGCGAGCAACCCACATGGTGCGGTAGACCTCTCCTGACTGCCTGCTTCTCCCCTCAGCAGTGTACTCACAATCTGCCTGTTCTGTTCCCCACTCTGTCTCTGGTGAATCCTCTCACCCCCTGCATGTCTGGCCTGTACCCCAATTCTTGTATGCATAAATAAATCTTTAAAAATTTTTTTTTAATTTTAGAAAAACTAGAGGGTCTTTAAAGACCCTTCCAGTTCTGAGAACGTATAGAACAACCCCCCCAACCCCCTCTTAACCCTTGGTTACAGGCTGCTTTAACATTCTCTAAATTAATGAATTTTGGAGTAGGAAGTGGTTTTAATAATATGAACTGCTAATATTTTATCAAGTGCTTTCCAGGCAATGATTCAAGTTCTTTACACGTATTTATTCATGTTAGCCTCACAACAACCCTATCGGTTAGATACTATTATACATATTTTGCAAATAAATTGAAGGAAAGATTAAGTGATAGTTAATTATTGGCAGCACTCACTCAAACCTAGACAGTCTGGGCCCACAGCCTAATCTCTAAACCACTATGCTATGATTTAAAGTCCAAATACTTACAGTCATCCCTCTCTCATCAGGGATCTTGCATAAAGTAGTTCACTAAGGTCCTGCTGACTTGGCAGGAAAAGCTTCAATAGTTAAGGAGTTATAATGTTGAAATATACCTGTTAGTGGCTGAAATGTGTCCTCCACAAAATTCCTATGTCCTAACTCCCAGTACCTTAAAATGTGAACTTATTTGGAAATAGGATTGTTGCAGAAATAATCAGTTAAGTTGTGATCACCAGAGTAGGTTGGGCTCCTAGTCCAGTTAGATTGGTATCCTTATAAAAAGGGTAAATTTGGAGTTAGATGCATGTAAGAACACATTACTCAGATCAAGGCAGTAGAGTAATGTTTGCCAGCAAACAATCTTCTTCCTAGAAGTTAGGGAAGTAGCATAGAACAGATTTTTCCTCGCAGCCCTCAGAAAGAACCAACCCTGCCAACACCTTACTTGGACTTCTAGCTGCCAGAACTGAAACAATAAACTGTTGCTTAAGCTATCTGGTTTGTGGTACTTTTTATTTATACCAGTTCTAGCAAACTAATATAGCCCTCTTTCAACTAATGAGTTTCAGGATCTTGGTAACAGCCAGACCTCAGCAGGCATCTGCAAATGTATCAGCTGAAACACACTTAAATACTTCCCAGGGCTCAGAGGCTCTTTCTTCCTAGACAGGGAGCAAGATTTGAAGTATCTGCAGAAACACTCCTTCTTCCTCCAGCCAGGTCTCCTCTTTCAATGTCCTAGGGAGCAGGTGAGGGCCATTTGGTCTAAAATCCCAGGGATCTCCCACACAAAGGCTGGGGTAAATGGATTCAGAGGCTAACTACAAAAACTACCATTAATTGAGCTCTATGTGCCAAGCATATGTTAAAATTTTAGTATGAGTTATTTTATTCACTACTCACAGAAACCTAGAAAACACATATCCATATCCCTTTTTTATAGGTTAGGAAAGTATTTAAAAATTATTTTTAATACTTTGTTGATCATTCCTGAGTTTTCTTTTTTTTTTTTTTTTTTATAAATTTTATTGTTATATTCCCCATACAGTTGCAGCCCCCCCATTCTGACCCCAATCCCTCCCCTCCCGCCCCCGCCCCCCTAAAAGTGTCTCTGGTTCATAGTTTTTTGTTGATTTTGATTTTCACTTTCTTATAGTTATTCATTTTCCTGGTCCCTTATTTAAGTTTTCTAGATTCCTGCTATGAGTGAGACCATCCGGTATTTTTCTTTTTCTTTTTGGCTTATTTCGCTGAGCATGATCCCTTCCAGCGCCATCCATGTTGCTGCAAATTGCATGTGTTTATCTTTTTTGAATGCTGAGTAATATTCCATGGTATATATGTACCACATCTTCTTGATCCAGTCATCTATTTTTGGGCATTTGGGTTGTTTCCAAAGCTTAGCTATTGTAAACAGTGCTGCTATAAACATAGGGGTGCAGGTGTTCTTTGGAATTGATGTTTCTGTGTCCTTTGGGTAAATACCTAGGAGTGGAATTGCTGGATCATATGGAAGCTCTATGTTTAGTAGGTCCAGAAATCTCCACACAGCTCTCCACAGTGGTTGGACCAGTTTGCACTCCCACCAACAGTGCAGAAGAGTTCCTTTTTCTCCACACCCTCGCCAGCATTTGTTGTTGCTAGTTTTTTTAATATGTGCCATTCTCACTGGTGTAAGATGGTATCTCATGGTAGTTTTGATTTGCATTTCCCTGATGGCAAGTGATGTTGAACATTTTTTCATATGCCTGTTGGCCATTTGCATTTCCTCTTCAGAGAAGTTTCTTTTTAGCTCTTCTGCCCATTTTTTGACTGGATTATTTTCTTTGTTGTTGCTGAGTCTCATCAGCTCTTTGCAGATTTTTGTGATCAGTCCTTTATCATTAGTGTTGGGTGCAAAAATGTTCTCCCAGTTGGTGGGGTTTCTCTTTGTTTTTGTTATTGTCTCTTTTGCTGTGCAGAAGCTCTTTAATTTGATGTAGTCCCAGCTGTTTATCTTTGCCTTCACTCTCACTGCTTTGGGTGATGTGTCTGTAAAGATGTCTTTGATGTGCAGATCATGTAGTGTTTTGCCTATATTTCCTTCTATATATTTTATGGTTTCAGGTCTTATGTCTAGTTCTTTAATCCATTTTGAGTTGATTTTTGTGTATGGTGTGAGGTAGTGGTCAAGCTTCATTCTTTTGCATGTAGCGACCCAGTTTTCCCAGCACCATTTATTGAACAAACTTTCTTTGCTCCAATGCATAGTCTTTGCTCCTTTGTCAAAGATTAGTTGACCATAAATCTGTGGATTTATTTCTGGATTTTCTATTCGATTCCATTGGTCTGTATGTCTGTTCTTGTTCCAATACCATGCAGTTTTGATGATTATGGCTTTGTAGTATAGTTTGAAGTCTGGGAGTGTAATGCCTCCATTCCCTTCTTTTTTTTTCAGGAGAGCTTTGGCTATTCGGGGTTTTTTGTGATTCCATATGAATTTCATCAATAATTGTTCTATTTCTTTGAAGAATGACATTGAAATTTTGATTGGAATAGCATTGAATCTGTATATTGCTTTTGGAAGGATGGCCATTTTAATAATGTTTATTCTTCCAATCCACGACATTCCTGAGTTTTCAGTGGTAATTTTTTCCTGAGTATTAGACTGCTCATCCAGGCAAACTAGTAATACCTTGTAGGACTATGAGGTGAGGCCAAAATATCTCTTCTTCATGGTAAATCAACAAGGAAAGCTGAGGAACCTGCAGTCCCTGGTTATCCCCACTGCCTATCTCTTGAGGAAACCACAAGTTTTCTCTTTGTAATATCCTTGCAGTTGTTATTCTCCACATTATCATGGCACAAAATCACTCGCTCCAGGACAAGCTCCACAGACATTTTCCTTCCTAAAAATGCCTAGGATCATGCATGCACAAGCAGGACTCAGGGTCAGAGATTGGAAACCCAAAATTCATTTCTAAAAGAATTCAGTGAGCAGTAGCTGAGAACTTGGCTGGAGTCAAGACTGGGACTAAATGCCAGGTTTTCTGAAACTATCCTTAAAGATCAGATTAAAAGTAAGGCTGAAGCCCATGGGCTACAATAAGGCTTTTAAATCCATAGATAACAGCAGAGAGAACTGGACTTCACTTAAATGATCTCCTTTTTCTATAAAATGATTGTCTTTCCAAGTTAACATGTTTGAACCTCACTAACACCCTGAATAGTAATATTTTATAACAATAATCACCTTCATTGGTATCATATTCTAGTATTTACAAAGTATTTTCACATATATTAGTTCACTGGAGCCACGAAACTACTATGTGACAAGCAGGGCAGTGACAACATCTGTAACCCAGTCCTCTTCAGTCCTATTGGCAAAAGAAATTCTGAAGTCCTAATGCCTCCACAGACGTAGAATAAATAGGTAAAATGCAGCAAAATGGAGGAGGAGGAGAGAGTAAGAAGGTCTAGAGTCTAGACCAGTTTTGCCTGTACCATACCATACATGTTCTCAGCTTTCCCATCTGAACAATGGGGAGAATGGACCAAATGATCTTCAGGGTGTTTCCAGCTATTCTATGAGTCTATGAAAACAGAAAGATGAGCACTCACAAAGTCCTGCAGCTATATTTCTTCCTGACACTGTATCCCAGTTTTTAACAGGAACTTCATATACATCATCCCATATAATCATCACAATCCTGACAGGCAACTTTCACTTGTAGGTTAGAAACTTGAAGTATGAACTTGCTTCTTCATCAACATATGGCATTATCACTTTTGGATTTTGGCCATTCCAAAAGATGCATAGTGGTATTTCATTGCTGCCTAAATGCCAATTGCTAAGGCTTAAGTTCTTTATGCACTTGGCAATTTCCCTTCCAGAAGCAGCTGCTTTGAGAAGGGGAAGGTTAAGGGTTTAGCAGGGTCCAGACTAAGCAGTCATTTATGATATAGTTCATCTGTCCTACTCACAGCTTGAATGTATGGGAGATGTTGCAGAGCTT